TCTGTCCCATTTCCAGTTAGCCCACATTGTTGCTGAATAGGGCCCATACATTTAGCCCAAATGGGCCAGCCCATAGGGGTCCCATTTTAGTTAACCATATGTGTCCCATGAGGTTTGCCCAGATAAACCCATGACCACTCATTACCCATATGGCCTACTACAAACCCAAGGGGGGCCCACTCATGCGTACTGGCTTGGAGACTGGACTGGACTGTTTCTAGCATAAAATAATAACATGAAAAAATGTTAAGGGTTCAAAGTGTGGCTAGAGCAATACTGAACTGGTTTAAAAAAATAAAGCATTGTAGAATTATTTTTAATGTTTTAATATCCTGGTCCTCTGGAAGCCTAGTGTTTGTAAATGAGCCAGGCATAGATATCACACAGTGAACATGTTTTAGGTTCAAACATTAGGAAGACATGGATGTTCTGTTCTATCAGCAAAATATATCCTTGGGTGATCTCCAAGACGAGGTCACCTTCGTCCTGGAGACCTCGACAATGGTCAAGGTCACCAACCTTTACTATCGTCGAGGTTTCCTACAAGGAAAAAATTAAATTCTACAATTTACCTTACATCAACTCCATTAGAGGCCAGCTGAGTAACAATTGCCTTGGCAAAGACTATAAAGCTGACATCTCGGGTAATTCTTTCCAAGTTTTGAGAATCTTGCTCTTGCAGCTTTTGCTTTGACATACAGTCAAAATTTTGAAAGTGACAGGTTAACTACAGGGGTTGGACAATGAAACTGAAACACCTGGTTTTAGACCACAATAACTTATTAGCGTGGTGTAGGGCCTCCTTTTGAGGCCAATACAGCATCAATTCGTCTTGGACAAGTATGGGGCCAAGGGAATGCCATGATATGGCAGCCCACACCATCAATGATCCACCCCCATGCTTCACTCTGGCATACAACACTCTGGCTGGAATGCATCTTTGGGGCTTCTCCACACCATAACTCTCCCGGATGTGGGAAAACAGTAAAGGTAGACTCATCAGAGAACAATACATGTTTCACATTGTCCACAGCACAAGATTTTCGCTCCTTGCCATTGAACCGACGTTTGGCATTGATACGAGTGACCAAAAGTTTGGCTATAGCAGCCCGGCTGTGTATATTGACCATGTGGAGCTCCCGACGGACAGTTTTGGTGGAAACAGGAGAGTTGAGGTGCACATTTAATTCTACCGTGATTTGGGCACCGTGGTTTTATGTTTTTGGGATACAATCCGGGTTAGCACCCAAACATCTCTTTAAGACAGCTTCGTCTTGCATCCACAGTTAATCCTGTTAGATGTGGTTCGTCATTCTTGGTGGTATGCTGACATTACCCTGGATACTGTGGCTCTTGATAATCACAAAGACTTGCTGTCTTGGTGAACAATTTGCCCTCTTTTGAACTCCAGTATGTCCCAAATAATGTTATGTGCATTGCAATATTTTGAGCAAAACTGTGCTCTTACCCTGCTAATTGGACCTTCACACTCTGCTCTTACTGTTGCAATGTGCAATTCATGAAGATTGGCCACCAGGCTAGTCCAATTCAGGCATGAAACCTCCCACAGTAAAATGAGAGGTGTTTCAGTTTCATTGTCCAACCCCTGTACAAATTGTTCTACAATTTTGTCTCATTTAGCCCACTTAAAAAAGGACTGGGGTCTACATATCCACACCCAGGTCCAACCTGGGCGTGGATATGTACTGACCACACTGAACCCACAGTGGGTTCAGTGTGGTCAGCCCACATGGTCTCCCCATGTTGGGCCCATGACATGAGCCCATGCTCATGTCATGTGGGTTCAGTGTGGTCAGCCCACATGGGTCTCCCCATGTTGGGCCCATGATACTGAAACCACATGGGCCCCATAGTTTTGCCCAGTTCTATCCCATTCCCAGTTAGCCCACTTAAAAAAGGACTGGGCCTACATATCCACACCCAGGTCTAACCCATATATGGTCAGCCCATGCTGATGTCATGTGGGTTCAATGTGGTCTGCCCACATGGGCTTCCCATGTTGGGCCCATGATACTGAAACCACATGGGCCCCATATACTGTTGCCCAGTACTATCCCATTCCCAGATAGCCCACTTAAAAAAGGACTGGGGCCTACATATCCACACCCAGGTCTAACCCATATATGGTCAGCCCATGCTGATGTCATGTGGGTTCAATGTGGTCAGCCCACATGGGCTTCCCATGTTGGGCCCATGATACTAGAACCACATGGGCCCCACATACTGTTGCCCAGTACTATCCCATTCCCAGATAGCCCACTTAAAAAAGGACTGGGGCCTACATATCCACACCCAGGTCTAACCCATATATGGTCAGCCCATGCTGATGTCATGTGGGTTCAATGTGGTCAGCCCACATGGGCTTCCCATGTTGGGCCCATGATACTAGAACCACATGGGCCCCACATACTGTTGCCCAGTACTATCCCATTCCCAGATAGCCCACTTAAAAAAGGACTGGGGCCTACATATCCACACCCAGGTCTAACCCATATATGGTCAGCCCATGCTGATGTCATGTGGGTTCAATGTGGTCAGCCCACATGGGCTTCCCATGTTGGGCCCATGATACTAGAACCACATGGGCCCCACATACTGTTGCCCAGTACTATCCCATTCCCAGATAGCCCACTTAAAAAAGGACTGGGGCCCACATATCCACACCCAGGTCTAACCCATATATGGTCAGCCCATGCTGATGTCATGTGGGTTCAATGTGGTCAGCCCACATGGGCTTCCCATGTTGGGCCCATGATACTAGAACCACATGGGCCCCATATAGTGTTTGCCCAGTACTATCCCATTCCCAGATAGCCCACTTAAAAAAGGACTGGGGCCTACATATCCACACCCAGGTCTAACCCATATATGGTCAGCCCATGCTGATGTCATGTGGGTTCAATGTGGTCAGCCCACATGGGCTTCCCATGTTGGGCCCATGATACTAGAACCACATGGGCCCCACATACTGTTGCCCAGTACTATCCCATTCCCAGATAGCCCACTTAAAAAAGGACTGGGGCCCACATATCCACACCCAGGTCTAACCCATATATGGTCAGCCCATGCTGATGTCATGTGGGTTCAATGTGGTCAGCCCACATGGGCTTCCCATGTTGGGCCCATGATACTAGAACCACATGGGCCCCACATACTGTTGCCCAGTACTATCCCATTCCCAGATAGCCCACTTAAAAAAGGACTGGGGCCTACATATCCACACCCAGGTCTAACCCATATATGGTCAGCCCATGCTGATGTCATGTGGGTTCAATGTGGTCAGCCCACATGGGCTTCCCATGTTGGGCCCATGATACTAGAACCACATGGGCCCCACATACTGTTGCCCAGTACTATCCCATTCCCAGATAGCCCACTTAAAAAAGGACTGGGGCCCACATATCCACACCCAGGTCTAACCCATATATGGTCAGCCCATGCTGATGTCATGTGGGTTCAATGTGGTCAGCCCACATGGGCTTCCCATGTTGGGCCCATGATACTAGAACCACATGGGCCCCACATACTGTTGCCCAGTACTATCCCATTCCCAGATAGCCCACTTAAAAAAGGACTGGGGCCTCCATATCCACACCCAGGTCTAACCCATATAAGGTCAGCCCATGCTGATGTCATGTGGGTTCAATGTGGTCTGCCCACATTGGCTTCCCATGTTGGGCCCATGATACTGAAACCACATAGGCCCCATATAGTGTTGCCCGTTTCTATCCCATTCCCAGATAGCCCACTTAAAAAAGGACTGGGGCCTACATATCCACACCCAGGTCTAACCCATATATGGTCAGCCCATGCTGATGTCATGTGGGTTCAATGTGGTCTGCCCACATGGGCTTCCCATGTTGGGCCCATGATACTGAAACCACATGGGCCCCATATAGTGTTGCCCAGTACTATCCCATTCCCAGATAGCCCACCTAGTTGCTGAATAGGGCCCATGCATTTAGCCCATATGGGCTGGCCCATATGGGTCTCATTTAAGTTAACCATATGTGTCCCATGCAGTTTGCCCAGATAAAACCCATGCCCACTCATTACCCATGTAGCCCACATCAAACACAAGTGGGGCCCACTCATGCGTGCTGGCTGGGTAATCTCAGAATTCTGACTTTAATCTCAGAATTCTGTCTTTAATCTCAGAATTCTGACTTTATTCTCAGAAGTAAGAATTCTGTCTTTAATCTCAGAATTCTGTCTTTAATCTCAGAATTCTGACTTTATTCTCAGAAGTAAGAATTCTGTCTTTAATCTCAAAATTCTGTCTTTAATCTCAGAATTCTGACTTTAATCTCAGAATTCTGACTTTAATCTCAGAAGTAAGAATTCTGTCTTTAATCTCAGAATTCTGTCTTTAATCTCAGAATTCTGTCTTTAATCTCAGAATTCTGACTTTAATCTCAGAATTCTGACTTTAATCTCAGAATTCTGTCTTTAATCTCAGAATTCTGACTTTAATCTCAGAAGTAAGAATTCTGTCTTTAATCTCAGAATTCTGTCTTTAATCTCAGAATTCTGTCTCTAATCTCAGAATTCCGCGATAAAAGTCAGAATAAAGACAGAATCTTTTCTTTTTTTTCAGTGGCCCTAATCCTTTTCCATATAACTCTCTCTTGGGCTCCATTCAGAAAATCTTTACAACTCCTATTATTTACAAAACGCACAATTTTTTATTCTGAAGAAGAATAAAAATGCTTTTTATATTTATTAAGCTTCCTTTTAATGATTTACAAATAAAATTCATGCATGGATCCTTTGCTACTAATTAAATTAACCCATTTTTGCATGAAGTGAAGCTGCAGCGGACAGGTTTTGGTTTCTCCTTGGAAACCCGCTCCTCCACTGTCGAGAGCAGCTGCTTGAAACGCTTCCTTTCATCCACACACTCAAAACGAGAAGGTCACGTTTGAATAAATGTGTGGGTGTGGATTTTATTTGCATTTCTATTTTCACAAACTCACCAGGACCTGGAGGAGACGCTTAATCTTCCAGATGAACGAAGGGAGGACATGGTAAAAATATTAGAAACATAAGGATATGAGGATTTATTCTGAACAAAAACAATAACATGTGAGATTAAAGTGATTAATTTGTCTTTCAGGAGGAGCAGAGTGCATCTTATCAGGCTGAAAACAGTTCAGACGAACCTGGAATCAGTGTTTTACATGTGAAATCTGGACTCGATGACAGTTTTGGACCCGCATCTCCAAAACTGGACTTTGAAGAAGTAGAGGATGACGTAAAAGACGAACACGTTACAGGATCCTCAGAGCAGAAAATGGCCGACGTTGATCCATCGTGTTTGATGGAAGCTGCTGTGGGAGACACCAGGCTGATTCCTTCAAGACCCATAACTCCTTTTTGCTCTAAAAAAGCCTCAGACGAGCTGAGAGAGGAGGAAGATAAACGTCTGTCTTCGTCCTCGGCCGTCCTTTCACACCTGGTGAGTGTCCAAGAATAATGGAAATTAAAAATGATGCTAATTTTTTAAACCATCATCCATCAAATTTGGCTGTTTTCCTCTTTAATCTTTAGGGAGTGTTAAACAAACAGAAGGAGCAAAAACAAGTCAGTCCAAGTTCAGAATCTCAGGAAACTGAAGCATCATTTGGGTAACAAACTGCAAACGAGAAGAAAAAATGTTTTTATACTTCAGTTTGTTCAAACCTACAGTTCATCCGTCCTCTTTCTGTCCCTCAGCTCTCCTGATGATGATGATGATGATGTAGAAAATCAGCACTGGACTCATATTTGCTCCCATATTGGGAAAAAAGTGAGCGCTCTGAGGAAAGTTTTGGAGGAGAAGCAAAACATGATCGGCACTCAAGACAGAGGAAAAAAGAAAACGGTTAGAAAATACATGGAAAATAAAGATGGTGTGACAAAACACCGAAGTGAATAGATGTTCTCCATCTACTCAGGTCTTTAAGTTTTCAAGTTAGCTACAAATTTAAGTTGTTAATTTTAAATAAAGCAGGGTTTAAAGCGTTAAAGAAAGAGGAGAGTGAATATATTTCAAAGCATAAATTGATTCCTGGTCTAAAATGGAGATTCTTCTTCTTCTTTGTTTTTGTTCAGGTTCCAGGAGAAGAGCCCATGTCTGCAGCATCTGTTTCATCGGTTCTTCAGCAAATAAAAGACACAAACGTTAAGCTGAGACAAACGTTACACGAGGTACAAAGAGTAATCTGAAAGCAATCCAATTCTCAACCTGGTCATTTTGACAAATTGTGTTGATTATGTCCAATAAGTAAGATTTAATCTAACAAGATGACAAAGAAATAATTTTTTTATAATTACTTCACTTTTTCAATCAAATTTTGGTTACTTCTACGTAGCTGACAAAGAGTGACCTGTTTTCTATGAGTTTGTACTGAATGCCATGAGTCACATGTGCCAAATTATATATTATATATAATACATGTTATATTATAGAATCTTGTTTTAGGTCAATAATTATTGAATATTGGTGGTTATTTCACTTATAACACTTATGAGAAAAATGTCTTGTTATAAGTGAAATAATCTGCCAGCGGAACTAGTACGTTATACTTACTTATTTACTGAAAACAAGCTCCTATATTTTGCTGAAAGCTTCTTGTAAGTTAGTTTTGTCTTATTTCAAGTGAACTGAGATATTTTCACTGCAAATTAGACCAAAAATACTTGATAACATTTTGTGTTGAAGTGATAAAAAGAGAGTTAAAATAAAGAAAACTAGAACCAGAACAGTTTGATTTGTAAAACATTCAAGATGCTTGTGATGCTTTTCTTTTCACTTAGTGGTTTTGCTCTATTTTGTATAATTTTATTTTATAAAATCTCAATAAAAAGCAGAAGTTTACGTTCGTAACATGGACAAAGAATAACTACCTTCGGTAATCCCCAGGTGAAGGCCTCGGGTTCTTCTCATCCAGGAGCGAAGAAGAAGTTCGGCGAGGCCGTGCAGAGCGTCGTAACGTGTCTCGACTCATCGGCCGACCTGCTGACCCCTGATGAACCTGCAGCGGCGGATCCTCGGCTGAGGCTGCTGCAGCTGGAGGTGGCTGAGCACCGTCAAACTGCTTAAGTTACAATATTATCAGCAAACCTGAAATTACAGCTTAGCGCAACACAGAGGTGGGGGAAACTGTAAGAGTAGCACAACTTCAACATACTTTTAATCTAGTAAAAATAAAAGTTAAAAAGTATTTGGTAAAAAGTACAGAGTAACTGGAACAAATTATAATTTAACATTTGAAAACTGCATAATGAGATGGACCAGAATTAAAGGTTAAGTTAAAATTTTGGTAAAATGACAATAATTCATAAAAGTAACAAAATCAGACAAAATTATTTTTTTCCAAATAATTTTCTGTAAATATAAAACTTATGAAACTTTAACAAAAACTGAAGGTTTCTTTTGAATTTTTGGTTAAACATTTTTGTTTTTGAAGAGATACTTCATAATAAAATTACTCAAGGAAGAGTAAAAAAGTGTTTTTCAAAATGTTCACTGAAGTGCTGAGTAACTGATCGGATTATCATTTAATATTGAAAATCTACGTACCATAATCAGATGGATAAAAATTTAAAGTAAAGCAGAAACTTTGGTATTTAAGGACCAAAATGACAGAAAATAACATTAGACAAGAAAAATCCAAATGAATCTCTTTAAAAAAAAAAAGAAATAATTATGAAAGTAACAAAAACATTAAGTTTGTGGTGATTTTTTTTTTGTAGATAATACAGAAATTTTACTAAAGTAACAGTAGCAATACTTCATTATGAAATTACTCGAGTAAAAGTAAAAAGGCTGCTAAAGTAAATGTAATTGAGTAAAGCAGTTACTTCCCACTACATTTCAGGGTTCTTCTGTTTTCCTGTGTGTTTGTTTCAGAGTTTATGGGCCCAGTTGGAGCCGTTCGCTGAGCTGCTGGGTGAAGTGGAAGCGCAGATCAAACCCGCTGTGCTGATGGGAGAATCAGACGCTCACAGCTGTTTGGCGTCGCTGGACGATTCTGTCCAGACGGTCCAGCTTCTCCTCACCTCCTCCCACAATCGGCTGCTTGAACGCTCAGGGCTGCAAAGCCAACATCAGGTTTGATGTATTGCAAATCAATGCCAAGCTTTTCCAGATGTATAGAAAATTTCTCTTTAAATGCAAAAAACAGAGACCGTCTTTTAAAGGGGGCAGTATTTTGTAAAAATATGTTGTAATGTGATTCCCCTATTCAAAATATCCCTGGATTTTTTTGCCTTGATTCGTTCATGCATGTTTGAGAAATTTTTTAATCTCCATGGCATCCAGGAAAACACCTGCTTTTCAGTTTCCAAGCTTCCGCCCCACTCGGCTCCTTCAGACTAGCCAGCAGCAATTAGCAAACATCTTTTGAGAACTTCTGTCTGCTAAGCTCAATACATGAGCGACTTCTCAGAGAAACACTGGCAAAAATGTTGCTGGAGACATTTTTTCCTTTGGTCCAGCATCTATTCAGAGCCACAAAAGCTACATGAAAAAACAAATCAGCTTATACAATTGTTGGGGGTTTTTAAAGAAAGAAGAGCATTTTTGTGTTTTAAAAGTACTTTTTTTTACACAAAAGGAATTAAACATAATTTTTCAATAGAACATATCATTTGTAGTAGAAAGTTATTTCCAAAGATAGCATACTAATTTGCAACCGAAAGACATAAAAATAGCAATTTAAAAAGAAAGACTATTCCTTACACTTTTAGTGTTCTTGGTAAAAATGCTTTACATTTATTTTTACGTTTACAGTTTAAAAAAAAAAAATTTTATGGCGGGCTGCATGTGGCCCCGCCCCTCGACTTTCACACAAATACACAATATTCATGTAGTTTAAGCTGAAATAATAAAACTCTGTAAGAAAATTTTGTCAATTAACCCACCAGTAAATGTTTAATGATGAAATTAACGATTAAATTCAGAGTTTGCTGTGAAGAACTTGATGAAAATCATTGTCTTTCTCTCCGTATTGTAGTCTCTTCCCTCCTGCCAGCCTCGTCTCCTGGATCCGTTTGACCCGGGACTTTGTGAGACCTTCCCAAACCTGAAAGGTCCGCTCAGCTTGGAGGTAACAACCGCTCCAATTTAGCTTTCTGAAAAAGTTTTAACATTTTTAAAAGTTTTGCAACAAAATTGCAAACATTTTCTTGACATTTACATTATTTTCCCCCCCGTTTTTCTGAAAGTTCAATCCATAAATATTCTCACCAAACTCTGGTTCTGTGTATCGTCCCAGTGTGAGCCGGGCGGAAAAGAGGAACTGCAACACGCCTCCCAATGCTTGCTTCAGGGGATTTCTCGCCTCTTGAAACGGTGTGAGGAGAGTTTAACAGAAAAGCGGACGAGCCTTATTCCCAGCCGCAGCAAACTTCAAGCTGATCTCTGCAGACACAAGGTATCTGATTATACCTAACTTAAATCAGGCAAAGCCCAGATTTAAGTTAGAAACTCCACTTTTCCCACAAAGTGAATCCAATCTCCAAGAGTTTATGATTCAGGACCTCCAAACGTCTTGTTTGTTGAATTATTTACTGTTTAATTCAGTTTTGTCACAAATCTGGATTCATTATGCAGAAACTCCTCCAGGTCCTCGGATCCCAGCTGTCTTTTCTTCAGTACCTTTTCCAGCATGAACCTAATGCACTTAGCAGCAAACAGGATGAATGGGCACATCTGGAAGTCAGGGCCAAAGCTCTGCAGCAACAAGTTCTGGAAGAAGAAGTGGCTTCTCAGAAGAGGCTTCGGGTTTGTAATGTTTGTTTGCTGAAGGCCATTTGAGCTTCTGCACACATAAACACGCATCTTTGTTGTGTCTAAAAATCTGTTCTGGGGTTTTACTGAAACATATGGATTTTATGTTTGCCTTTGCTATAGGATTGGACCCACTGGGAGCAACTTTACGGTCAACTTAGCAGCGTGTTGGATGAGTCTGAAGCTTTTTTTAGCGCTGGAGAACCAGAGGGAGACGATGAGGAGGAGACGGTGGAGCGGAGGCTACATGCCTGCAAGGTAAGTCCAGCGAAAACTTCACACAGTTTATCCTCATTTCTTCTCTCAGGTTGCATAGTTACTCCTTTTTCCCCAACTAAACAGAACCACAAACAAACAGGAAATACAGATCTGTGAGGGGGGAAAAAGAAAAATCCCACTGAGATTTGAAGAAAACTATCAAAGGAGAAAAGGGCGCAAAAAACATGTTGCATTAACAAATAATGCAAGATAATTAAAATTTAAAAAGGACAGTGGGATTTTAAGTTTAAGAAAAAAAACACAAACACTGTTTTCAAACAAATGGGAAAAAATTCTTATAAAATAGTAAAACAATTCTCAAAATTATGAATATTTACCAAAGTACAGTCTTGGACATGTTGTTTTGTTGTCATGTATTTACCACTCTAGACATAGAAATTAGTTTTAATTCATCAGATTTCTTTTGGAAACATACATTTTGTCATTGTACATTTTATTTACTGTAATGTATAAGTTATGTATTTTTCTGCTGAAATTTAACTATACTATGTTAATTATTTTTATTTATACACCATGTTTTCATAAAAATAAAGTTATGTCTTCTGAGTTTTGAAAAAAGTAATCAGTAGTTTTGCGTGAAACTGGTTCTGCTTGACTCCCAGCGGACTCTGACCCGGCTGGAGGAGAGCCGCTCCGTGTTGGGGTCGTTTTTGGATCACAGGCTGGTGCTGCAGGCAGAGCCGTGGTTCGGTGCCTCGGTTGTACAGGAAGGGGGCGCTCTGGAGCTGCGATGGAAAGGCGCCTACAGGCGTACGGAGCAACAAATCCTCCGCCTAAGAAACATCCAGGAAAGCAGAGCCAGGTGGGCAAGATGCACCAATCGGAAGCACTACTCAGGAGAAAACATGTTTCGTACAAGAAGCAGAAGAGCAGAATCATGATGGCTTGAGCTCTTGACGAACTGAAATAACCAGATGAGCAGTTTTATTTAGAGTCACACTGCAAAAACACAAAATATTACCAAGTAGTTTTGATTATTTATATCTTAGTACAAAACTAACTGACAAATAGCTTTTCAGCAACATAAAGGAACTGTTTTTAAAAAGGTTTTATTAGCTCTAGTGGCCAATAAAGCAAGTAATTGACAGGAAAGTGAGAGAGAGAGAAGGGGAAGACATGTGGCAAAGGTTGGCAGACCGGGAATCGAACTCGCTACAGCCGCGTCAAGGACCAAGGCCTTCATATGTGGGTTGTGCTTAAACTCTGTACCATCACAGCACAACAGAAACTTATTTTAAGTGAAAAATGTCTGAATATTAATAATTTAAAAAATGTATTTGCTGTAAGTGAAAGAATCTGCTAATGGAACAGGACATTTCCCCCATATTATAAGTTATAATAGTGGAAAAATATATTTTAAAAAATATAAAGAAGAATAACAATCTACCTAATAATGCTTTATTTTTATTTTTTTTGGTGTCAACAGAATCTGTTACCTAGCAACCACAGCAGAGTTTCAGCTCGTTACCTAGCAACCCAGGCAGAGTTTTTTACACATTTGGTCAGCTGGTTTTACCGCTAAATGTACTCTACAAGACAAAGGTCTTGTTGTTGACTTTCCATCCAGAAACCACTTGCTGCATTCTTGCTGGTTGTGCGGGAGGCTCCACTTCTGCTTTTCGAAGATGCACAGTTGCGCATTTTCACATGCGAGTGCAAACATTCGCTTCGGGAGCGTTAACAGCAGCAACGTATTTAGATTTAAAGTGACAGGAGGCCCTAAAACAGCTCGTTTTGAAACTAAAATCTCATTATCTAATAATAATTTTGTGCAAAACATGTAAATGAAAATATTTTGAACATGTTATGAACAGCCTTTTCCATATTCAATAACTAAGAATCTAGATAAATGAGTTACAGCAACATTTATTTTCCCTTTGGGATCAGAAAAGTATTTTTGCACTTGGATTTGTTTTGTACAGCACACAGACCAATCCCAACCTGTAGGAAGCATAACACGTCACCTTCTTCAAAGCAAAGTAGAAAAGAGGAAGAATACGATATGTCTGAATCAGATTCTCAGACTTCTGCCTTAAAAAATAAAGTTGTGTAACCGGTAGCTTCTCCCGTCTCAGGCGGGCTACAGTTCTTCTTTTGACTTTTCTCTGTCATCCAAGCAGCAAGGCAGCACACACACAACCACATCACTAGTTTGAACCTGCTTCTCTGGAGACAGGGCGAAGTCCAAACTAGGTGTTGCACCAACTGCCATAGAGCATCAAAATACTTCCTGCAAAAATTAAAATTAACAAGATATTGACTGCACAAAAGAATCAAGGTGGCAGATATAGCTTCCTGACTTTTTGGGTTGAATCTTTTTTTATATTTTGTTCAATATATTTGAGAAGTTGGAGCCAAAAGCATGGCTGTATTAGGATGAACTGGTGTGTCTGGAAAGCAAAAACAAAGCAATGCTAATACAAGTAAATGTATTATTTAATAAGTTACACATTAGTTCACAATTTTTACTGTTCTTGATCTGCAGATGCGGCCACTAAAACATATTACAAGAGCCATAAACGGCCCTCGGGCCGCACTTTGAACACCTCATGTATAAAACTTCAGATTACTTTTGCAGGAATAAATAATCTAAAGCTTTAGTTGTCTTTTATTAATATTTTCATCTTCACTTTACATGAGAATCCAGCAAAAATATTTACAAAAAGTTTTGCAGTAGGCTTTCTCTCTATTATATGACTCCAAATGTAATTTGTTTGTTAAATTTATAAAACAAGCTCAAAAATAAAATAAATAGAAAGTGGTCTTTTTTGTACTTATGAACCCCCCAAAATTTAAGGGGTACAAATTTAAAATTTTATGTTTCACATCGTTTTTTTAATGTTTCTGCTCATAATTTCTACAAGAAAGTTATATTTTTGTCTTATTTTATGCATATTTTAATAAGAAGAAGTAATCAGTTCAGTTAATGCCATAAATCTAACATTTGTGTACCTTTTCAGTGAAGATGTTTAAAAGTTTTGATTGATTGATTTTTGATTTGTGTAGTCATCGAAACACTAACAATTTAAAGAGTTTTGATTGGCCATAAATCAAGTGAACTGGGAGCAGTTCAGTCTCTGACTTTGAAGCAGTTTAAAGACGTCGAGTCAAATAACATCCCAGTTTTCTCATCTGAGTGGGAGGAATTTATAAATATACAGTTCGTCTCATTTCTGGATTCAGAACAACAGACGGAGAAAGAGTTAAAAGAGAAGACAGGTATATATAAGAAAAAATAAAAAGGAGGCTTATCTTTTATTTTCATTTTTGCCTTTGGACATCCACCAAGCTGGGCTTTGGTGTGTGTGAAGGGGCCTTCATGTTCTGCCCCGCTGGTTGATCTATCAGTCCTGGCTGTCCTCCCCACAGATTCCTGGCAGGCGTTGCTTCGGTCGGTGAGCGTCTGCTGGCCGCCGGCGAACACCTGAAGACTTCCTCAGACCTGAGTCAGGAACCCGTTCAAAGGCGACTGCTGGAGCTGCTGGTGAGGCGCTGATCTGCTTCATCAGAAATGACCTGCAGGAGGCGCAGCCTGCAGGGATGATGCCGACATCAGTGGCTTTTTATGGGTTTATTAAGAGTTTATTAAGGGTTTATTATTGGTTTATTAAGAGTTTATTAAGGGTTTATTATTGGTTTATTAAGAGTTTATTAAGGGTTTATTATTGGTTTATCATGGTTTTGTTATTTAAGATATATTTAAATCCGAGTTGTTTTAACAGTTTTCTTTAAATTCACAAAAAAGTAAAGTGTGTATCATGAGCTCTGATCATCCATCCATCCATCCATCCATCCATCCATCCATCCATCCATCCATCCATCCATCCATCCATCCATCCATCCATCCATCCATCCATCCATCCATCCATCCATCCATCCATCCATCCATCCATCCATCCATCCATCCATCCATCCATCCATCCATCCATCCATCCATCCATCCATCCATCCATCCATCCATTCATCCAGAATGACTGAGAACTCAGAAAATTTCACTCTCATAAAATTTGAAATTTGAATAAAAAATATGTAGATCCCCATGTTAGGAAACATAGTAGAGTAAAACCAAAGCGTTGATTGATTTATTCTGCCATTGATTGATTGATTGATTCATTCATTCATTCATTCATTCGTGTTGCAGTCTCTTGTCTCTTAAAAATGAAACACATGGTCTTTTGTTTCAGGGAGATTTGCTTAAACCATGGTTTGATGTAAAGTACAATTTACTGTCAACAAAAATCCTTCAGCTGTCCTTAATTTAATAAAACCCGAAATAATGTTCCAAACATATTAATTATAATTATTCCAACGTTGTCAACTTTTCCCCAGGACGTTTTCGTGGAGCTGGCAGCCACTTCCAAGGAGACCAGTGGGCTTGTCCACCTGAGGGACGCCAGGTGTCCCAAACTGAGAAGTCAGATCCCACAGCTGGAGGCCAGCTGCAGCCAGCTGACCTCTGACCTTTCCAAGATGCTGGAGCATCTGCTGCAGGTTCAGGTTCAGCACTTAGGGAAAATAATGTTTTAATTTAACTAACATCAACAGATATGAAGCAGCTGAGGGTGTTTGAGAATGTGTCAGATTTCATGTTAGTTCTGTTCGTTTTCAGAAATAATTAGACTCAGAGAACCGCTCTCTGCTGCTGGGAGTATAAACTTAAATGCCTTCAGAGGGGGGAGGAATCAGCAGGAAGGTCACTCTTAATTTTTCCTCTCCATTCATCACCGGTGACTGGAACCAGATATCTGGCTTCGCTTTAATTAGTCAGATTTTGCCAGATTTTTTCTCCCAGTTGGATCCTTACAATCTGAAAACCACTTCAGCAGATTTTATCTTCTGAAGAGAGATTTAATAACACGGACACTGACGATGTTCTCCTAATAAATACCAGCTGTTTCATACAGAATTACTTTGATTAAGAGCAATAAAACCAACCATTAAAAGGGGCAGATGTTCATGTGAAATGAAAATCAATTATTGTTATGTTGAATTATGTTTGTTAGCGCCTGGAGAACGAACAGCCACCACTGAAGCTGCTGTATGAACTGGAGAACTGGCTGAAAGAAACGGAAACTCGGCTCAGCCGGGAGAAGAAGAGAGTCCTGACGGCTAAAAATGCAGCTGAGATGGTTGAAATTCTGCAGCAATGTCAGGTACAACATGTGTGTTTTATGCATTCATTTATATAACATTTAAATTAAAGGTGATTTTTTTGTCTAGATTCCTGTTTTAAGTTGATTTCCAACCTGAAATACTTAGTTCGTATTCTAACTTACTGTATTTTTCGGACTATAAGCCGCTACTTTTCCCCCTTGGCTTTTCTGTAGACTTTTCCTCAACCACCAGGGGGGGCTCTTTAGCAGGAAGTGAATCAATGGAAGTCGAAATTGGAAATCGAAGAAGAAAATGCTAGTTTTCATTTAGAACAAGCACATGCGTTTGCTTTTCTTTGCAGAGTTTCTCATTTTTATTCAGACAGAATGGAGACAGTTTTTTTTTCCTCTATTGAAGAAAAAGGTTCCCCCAGCATGATACTGACACCACCATGTTTCAAAATGGGGGTAGTGATTTCTAAATGTTGTGCAGCCTTTGTTTTGCAGACGTAGCGATTAAAATGAAGGTGGAAAAAGATTTTTGCTCTCATCTTACCAAAGCTTTCCACAGGTTTTAATTTTTTACTGCAAAAACACAAAATGTTCCCAAATATTTTGGTCTAGTTTCTTTTGCAAATGTCTTAAAATAAGACACAACTAACTTTAAAGTAAATTTTATGAAAGATATAAGAGCTTGTTTTAAGTAAATAATTCCTTAATATTGATTAAAAAATTAGTTAAGCTGGAAGATTATTTTAATTATAACAAGACATTTTCCCAAGTTATAATGGAAAATTATTAAAATAATGGAGAAAATACTTTTTCATCAATATTAAGAAATTATTTACTTATAACAAGCTCTTATATCTTGCAGAAATTTTAGTTTTAAGTTAATTTTATCTTATTTTGAGTGTACTAAAATTTTTTTGTGCCTTAATCTGTAAAAAAAATAATTTTCCTTCTACTTTACAATTAAATGTAGCTTTGTCTTGGTTCATTACATAAAAACATTAACTTTTGTTGTTGCAGTGTGACAAAGTACAGTAAAATTATGATTTGAATATATTGTTCTGTACAAAATATCAAAGGAAGAAAATAAGTGGATTTAAAATTAAGAGCTGTTAATAAAAAGAAACCTAATTAACCCTTATTACAAATAAATTCCTCATTTCTGGTATTTTCCAGGCGTTAAGGACAGCTGTCGACAACTGTGAGCAACTCCTTGATTTTATGTCCGAGCCTGGGTCCAAAGTGGCGGGAGCAGACGTCCCGGCTCGCCGCCTGGAATGCACGACCTTCGCAGAAAACCTCGGCGGCGTCAGGCAGCAGTGGCTGCTCCTGCAGAGGGAGCTGGACAGCCAGGTCAGCGCCTCGGTGGAACCCGAGTCAAACGCAAAACTCACATTTTTCACATCTTTGTACTTCCAACTGCTTCTAAATACCATTTTTCGACAATAAGTTCATGTTTCTTTTTTTTTTCTGTGTGTTTAAAGAAAACATCCCAATTGTTAAGTTACTTAGCAACCAAAACGAAGCTCCAGCACATTTGGTCAGCTGGTTTTACCGCCATACAATGGCTCCTGGAAAAGACAAGTATTTTGTTGTTGACGTGACATTCAGAAGTCACTTGCTCCATTCTTTTTGGTTGTGCAGGGGGCTCGACTTCTGCTTTTCAAAGATGTATGTTTACATAATTGCGCATCTGTTTTCATCCATTTTCATGTGTGAATGTAAACGTCGAGTTTACAGCAGCAACTTTTTGGATTTGAAGTGAAAAGAGGCCCTTAAACAGTTTATTCTGAAAGGAGTGGACCAAAAATCTCATTATATAAGAATGACTTTGTCTAAATAATGTAATAAAAATGTTAAGATAAAATTAACTTAAAACTAAAATTTCTGCAAGATATAAGAGCTTGTTATAAGTTCTGTGCCTACCTGGTCAAGGACGCATAAAAGGTCACATTTTAAGTGTTGCTGTTCAAACTAGTTTTATTCAAGTTTTAGAAATGGAGGAAATGTAATGTTTAAAGTCAGCTTGTGTACTACAATTGATCAATTTATACATTCAAAATATTGTTAAATAATGTGTCCAAAATGCACGTGTCCATCTTTAGTAACATGAAACCAATGATTGCGTTTGAATTGCCTCCATTCCTCTTCTTTTCCTCAGATTTATGAAGTTGAACACATCCATCACACTTGTGCAGAACGAGAGAGACGTCTGCAGAAACGGCAGGAATGGACAGAGCAGCAGAAGAAGAGGATGAGTCAGTGGAAACGGCCCTGCAGTCAAACCCTGGCTAGCTGCTCTCTGCTGGAGTGGGAGGTATGATGGTGGGAATCACACAGAGGGAAATCTGGACGCTCTGGACGATTTTCTATCTGCTGTGACTTTGTGTTTTCCAGGCTGAAGTTGCCAGAATCCAGCAGGTTTCTGCAGAGCTGCAGGATCTGGGAGAAGGAAGAAGAAGGTGTTATGGGAAGGAAGGGAAGCTCCTGTGGGATGAGATCTTCTCCAGCCAAGTAGAGAGCGTGAGGCGGACCTGTGTTGATCTTCATCAGCAGGTAAAACAACCTCAAGGTCAAAGGTCACAGATTTACTAACTGAGAAGGTGCCTTGATGGATTTAAAGATTCTGCATGTTTGGACAAGTTTGGTGGTCTGGAGTCCATAAAAACTCCATCCATCCATCCATCCATCCATCCATCCATCCATCCATCCATCCATCCATCCATCCATCCATCCATCCATCCATCATCCATCCATCCATCCATCCATCCATCCATCCATCCATCCATCCATCCATCCATCCATCCATCCATCCATCCATCCATCCATCTTTAACTGTCCACAGTGAAATCATTTTATGACCATCTTATGTTCCTGTGCTGATCGTTCAACCTCCTCGTGTCTGAAATAATTAAAGATAAAAACACTTTTAATTAATTTTTATTTCATTCAACATAAAAAGTATAATGTTGACATCTTCTTTTGCAAAAACCTCCCCATGTTTTTACATTTTAAACTTACAGGAGCATCTATAAAGAATGGAACGTGAAATTAACCAAATTGTTTTTGTTTTTGTTGCTTCTGCTCCGTCTTCAGATGGAAGATCTCAGAGCGGATCTCGAACAGTCGGTGGAGAAGTGGAGTTGTTTCCGTAGAGCTCTGGGGGGAGTTACTTTGTTGACCACAAGGGTGCGCTGTGCCCTGCAGCAGCAGCAGCGAACGCCTCTCTTCTCCCTGCAGCAGGCTGAAGGAAAGTCAGACCGCCTGCAGGTGAGAAATGAACTGGTCTCCATAAACACATTAAAGCTACAAAAGCAAACATAAATGTATATTATCATCAGAATCATTTATGGTAGTTTATTAGTTTTAAAACAAGTTGATCTAGAGTCTAGAACACTGAGTGGCTACAATTAAAGAAGGCATCATAAAACTTTAGTGTTTGTGTGGAACAGCGAGCTGTAACTGCGGTTAAAAGCCTCTGAGTCCGGATGTGAAAGCTTCAGTGAGATTGTGGGCATTCACAGACTTCAAGCTGTCAACTCTTTTATTGCTTTTTAGGGAAGTAAATGCACTTTCAGAGAGCGAGAGTTAAAAGGAAAAAGTGTTTTTCATTTTGTTCAGGACCTCCAGGTGAAGGCGGAGGAAGACGGAGAGCAGCTTTGGATGGATGTGGACGAATCCTGCGGGACGCTGATGGAGACGCTGCATGATGCGTCAGCGCAGCTCATTAGGGATGAAGTAGAGGAGCAGCGAAATGGGTAATTAAAACTTTACCAAATAATGTAGGGGTGTCCAAAGTGTGGCTCGGGGGCCTTTTGCGTCCCTGAGTGATACAAATTTGTCTCACTGGCTGATGCAGATGGAGACATTTTCTTTCCCAGTTTGGACAAAATTATGACACATAAATTAAAATCGTCTCACAAAAATGTCAGATATTACAACAGAGTATTTAGATTATATTAACAAAATAAAAAATGTAATACAATTATGAGAATAAAGTCAAAACAATATGAGAATAAAGTCATTTTATTTTGAGAACAGAGTCACAAAAGAATAGTTAAAATAATATGAGAGTAAAGTTGCAATAATATGAGTATAAAATCATAATATTTTGAGAAAAACCCGTGTTACAAGAATAAAATTGTGCAAGAATAAAATCGCAGTGATGTTAGAATCAAGTCCCAGTATTTCAAGAATAAAGTTGTTAAAGATTAAAGTTGAATTAATATGAGAATGAAGTGGTTTTATTTTGAGAATAGAGTCAGTTCCTATTCTGCTCAAAGGACTTGCCTTGAAATCAACTTTTCTTTTCTCATTTGTAATCTTTTTTAATATAATTATTACACACTCAGTATTTTTATGTTTGCCTCATTAGGTGGAAGAAAATACTCCAAGATATAAAAGAGGAGCATAAAACCACCAAAGACATTTTCTCCCTCTGGCTTGAATACTCGAATCTGTCTGAGCGCTTTTCTCTCCGTTTGCAACACCTGAGGAATGAGTGGGAGGAGTTATCAAGTTCTTCACCTGGAAATGACGCAGAAACCACAGTCTGCTCCTTCAAGGTGAGTCAGAGTCTCATCAACTTTATCACCAACCAGAACTGAAACAAAGTCATTATCAAGAAAGAGGAGAAGCCAATAATTTAGGAAATTCAGACTTAAAGATGATCTATTATGTTTCCTTGAACAGGTGAGGACCGGTGACCTGTTACACAAACATGTTCATCAAATATTTTCCATAAAATCATCATTCTTAGATAATGAGATTTTAGTTTTGAACTTCTTTTATAATGAGCTGTTTAAGGGCATGAATTATGATGCTTTATGTCAGGATTTTTTTTTCCAGAGTGTTTTTCATTTTTTCAAGGCATAAGAAAAAAGGTGGGGAAGATGATTTTATTTTTCCTAAGTGATCAGTTGTAATTCTCTCCAAATACAAATTTATTTGGAAAAAACATCAGCAGTATTAGTCTGTAGGGGTTACTTGATGTGAATATTTTTTTTCCCTACAAGAGTAGAAGTAGAGACCGGATGTTCTGCCACATTGGAGTTACCAAAAAAAAAATCTTGCAGTTGTTTGCAGTGTATTGTATGAATCACTGGGTGCATTTATAACATAATATTTAAAACACAAGAAAATAGCTGTAATGACCGCTATGGATGAAAGGGTTAAAATAAGCTACTTCTGGCCTCCAACTTGACGTTCACACTCGCACTTGAAAATGGCTGCAAACAGATGCACAATGATACAAAAGTACATCTTTGAAAAGCATTTGTAGAGTCTCCAGCACAACCAACGAAAATTCAGCAAGTGGTTTCTGGATGGTGAGTCAACAACAAGTAAGTCACTTGTCTTTTTCAGCAGCCGTTGTGCAGCTGGAGCTCAGTTTGCGTTGCTGGGTAACGGGGCAGACAGCTCATTTTTCAGACACCAACCAACATTAACCAACAAAACTCAACAGGTTTTTTTTTTAAAGCGCTGGAGCTGTTTATAGAAGCAGTTGAAAGCCAAATGGAAGAAAGAAAACATGCAAAAAGGGAAATTTACACAATAGGTCTCCTTTGAAATGGAAGTTGCACACTGGCAGTCTCCTTAAAGATACATTTGATTTATTATTGTAGCCATAAGTTCACACAGAACAAAACTGTACTTGGTCCTGATATTAATTATCCTCTGGTACGTTAACCTAAAGTGCATTTCTATCCAGGTTTATTATTTCTGCTTAGAATTGGCAAGAAAATACACAATAAAGCACTGAAATCCTGAGCTTAAGTGCTGGAGTTTAACCAGGTTCACAAACCCTGTTTTTCAGCCTCTAAATGCATTTCTTTTTTTTTCTCTCTTTTCTTTTTTTTTTTTCAGAATCATTAGATTCCCTGCTTGACTCATCTGTTCCAGGTGCAGGTTCGGGGAGTCCATCCATTACGTTCCCTATTTAATTAAATGTTTTTCTCAATACCTGCTCTCCTATTCTTGGAAAGGAATGACGTTGCATGTACTTCTGTTGAGAAGTATGACTGAAGATCTGCTTCCAGTCAATGCACCTGACCTCCTCTCTAACCTGTTGCAAAACATCCTGATGACGTGTTGTTTTGCTCATTAGACCAGAGGAAAATGTTTTTATTTTTTTGGTTTCCATTCATAATGCCTCCTTAGTTCCTTTCTCTTCCAAAATACAGCGGAAAAGGCATTTTGTTGAAACTGCATAAATTGCGTTTTTCCACAGGACTAAAGAATCAATTTATTTGAATGAAACAAGTGGAAAGTGGCAATACACTGCATATGAAAGCCTGCTCCTGTTCCTCAGCTTTTCTCCTCTTCTCACAATCTAGAGGTTGCAGGATGCTGCTGATGAGCTGCAAAGTGATGCAGGAGATGTGCTGGCAGCATCCAAAGCTCTTGTTGGACGAGTCGAACCTTTATCTGCAAATTTAATCAAATCAGAAGCCAGGTTGTTGAGTCGCGATGTCCTGCTGCTGAACCAAGCTATAGTGGGAAAAAAGAGAAATCTGGAGGTGAGATGTTTTAAATTTGACACATACAGCAGGTTGTTTACCTTGGAGGTTGTTAAACATGACGTATTGTATTCAGGACGATTTGGAGCGAGAGAGACGATTTAAAGCTCAGCTGGAAGCACTTGAGGAACAGATGCAGAACTTGGTTTTTAAACTGCGTGGGGGCGCATGTGATGCAGACACTCTGGAGGTTTTGAACTCTCCTTCTACATACCTTTAACTAAACAAAAACAAGCATCATTTTTATAACTTTGTACTTTGTCTTAAACTCCCAGCAGGTTCTTCTGGATCTCAGTGACATGACTCCGTCACTGGTGGACGTTAAAGAGATGAGTGGCAACATAACCCTCAACAACGAGGAGATGGAGAGAGTTCAGTCCCTCAGCAGGCTGTGGGCAGAAACCGTTACAAAGGCAACAGATGAAAACATGTGAGACAGTTGATGTACAACATGTAATCATTGATATCTGGAATCCAAACTGTAAGGCAGATGAGACAATGCACTAGCTTTGAAAAACGGATAAGTTACCAGAAAACACAAAAGAAAATGAACTCAGAAAAAATATTAATAGCAAAGAAATATAGCATGAGAATTTTTATAAGAAGAAATCATTAAGTACTGCAAAAACACAAAATCTTACCAAGAATGTTTGGTTTAGTTTCTTATGCAAATATCTTAGTAAACTTGAAATAAGACAAACCAACTTAAAAGTAACTTTTTAGCAATTTACGGGAGCATGTTTTCAGCAAATAATTCCTTAATAATCATGAAAAAGTTACTAGTTCAATTGGCAGATTATTTCACTTATAACAAATCATTTCCACGTTATTGGAACTGGAACGTTATACTTAATTATTTACTTAAAACAAGCTCCTATTTCTTGCAGAAAAGCTACTTGTAAGTGAGTTTTGTCTTATTTCAAGTGAACCAAGATATTTTCACTACAAATTAGACCAAAAATAGATGGTAAGGTTTTGTGTATTTACTGTGCAATTAGAGCTTCAATTTGTCACAAATGTAATAATTCCTGGTCTTACATTTATCAGACAGAAGAAATGTTGTGTTGTGTCTTCATAGTCTTAGAAAATTCTCAGAAAAACTAAATTTACTGCAGATAAAACTGCACAACCTGAAAGAATCGGCATAAATGCAACATCTTGATGCATAAAAAGCATAAAAAACAAAGAAGCATCACTACTTTAACTTTAACACTACAATTCTTTAAATAATCCCCAGAGCTCTGGAAAAAATTGAGACACCACTTAAAATGATCAGTTTCTGTAATTTTACTTTTTAAAGATGTATGTTTGAGTAAAATGAACATTGTTCTTATTCATTTAGAAACAACGATACTAATGTTTTAACTCAGCGAGTTCAGAAATCCATATTTGGTGGAATAACCAGGAGGTTTTCAATTGAGTCTTAATTTTTTTCCAAAACTGGACAATGAATTTTCAATTTTTTACAATTGAACTTTTTTCCCTATCTGGATTTAAATGGAGTCTTAAAGACAGTGATTGACAGTTTGCCTCTAAAGTCTATGTTCTCTTCTTTTATTTCAGAGTTTTGCAAGATGAGCTTCAGAGCGGCTATAATTTTGAAGAAAAATGTGAAAAAGTGAAAACGATCCAGGAATACCTGCAGCAAGAATCAGTTTGCAGAAAAGATCTGAGTCACTCAAACCTTAAAGAGATGCTGGCTGTCAATCAGGTTTGGCAGATCTTACAAATTCATTCATTTCTTGAATTTTAATAATCTGAGGCTTTTCCAGGACATTCAACAAGTTTTCAAACATTATAGAAAGACCACAGAATAATTGAAATGCTAATATATTATCTCAGGAAACTGCAAGTTCAGCCTCAGAGAAAAATTACCTGTCCACAAACAAATAACTATTATGTCAAACTTCTGAACCATAACTTTTCACTGTGTAATCATGAGCTAATTTGATAAAACACCAGAGAAGAAGGAATGTTCTTTTATTCTTTAATCTAACAAATGTCTCCCACAGAAACTTCAGGTTCAGGTCATAAAGGGGCATCAGCTCCTCCAGAACCTCCTGTGTGACGCCTTCAACCTTATGGAAAAACAAACGGAGGACAAAAGGTGAGTAATGATGCAGGACATTTTAACAGATTTATGGTTTTTAACTGATTTAGGAATTAGGACATAGTGCACTGTAAAACATTTAAGGGTGGTTTAAGCTGCATTGAAAATGCAATTTAAGTCGACAAAAAAATTGTTTTGGTTTTAACTCAGAAATTAAAGTTCATGAAATTAATTTAACAAGAGAGCAGTAGACACAACTAAATGAGGCTCAAATGTTTTACAATGTTTCAAACGTTTATTCTACCACTTAAGGATTAAATTAATCATTTCATAAATAGAGCCATAATTCTATTACCTATAATTGATATATAATAGTCTTGATCAATCATTGACCCTTTGCACGTGACGTCACTGTTCGAAACTGGGCCCGCTCCGCCATGTTGGACGTTAAAGCTTCCAATACGCTCTTGTAAAGCCGTCAAAAAACGCACATCTGGTGACCTGATCTCTCTTTTTTATTTAGTTGATTTCGCAGTAAAAATGCTCACAGGGTGCTGCGCGGTCGGCTGCACAAACAGACAACGGTAGAAACCAAACTTGTCATTTTATTTAGTAACTTAATGAGGAAAGATGGCGGCGATGTGCGGCAGCCGTTAATCAAAACTACTGTTAGCCCTCGCTGTAACCGCGGATTTCCACCGAACACTTTTTTTTCAAGGTAAGAACATTAATGTTCATTTACTTTATAAGTATTTATGATGACAAATATCAAATATCGCATTATGGCGTCTCAGTAACTAACAATACCGCACCGTCATGTAGCCTAGCATGTGCAAAAGAACTGGTTAGCATCTCGTCTTTTGTAGTTTTAAGGCTGTTATGGTGTACAGGGAAGTTCACAGCCAAATTAGATTGACTCCAACAAGTAGAAGCCATGAATATACTGACAAAATTTTTTTGGAAAAACAATTTTATTTGCTGTGTTCGATACTCCCATCCCTCACTTCCGGCATCCATCACGATTCAGTGACGCGTGTGCAAAGGGTCAGCGTCAGTGTTTTCCAGTCGTTTTCCTGGTGAAGATGGTTTTATTAGCAAATATTTTAGACAGAGCTGTAATTTTCTCATGGTCATCATGTGACGAAAGGATCTCGCTTTGAGCTCCAGAGAGAGTCGGTCCAGTCTTGTCCAGATGTACTGCCTTGTCCTTGACGCGCACTGACAGCTTTTTGGTTTTGACTAAAAAGAAGAAAGTACTCTGCGTACAGAAGGGCTTTAGAATCTGCAGAATCAGCTGAGGTCAAAGGCATTTGCAACCGGCTGATTGATTACTTGTTCTTTGTGCCACATGGGTACAAAAACTGATTATTGGAGTCAGAATTCCTGCTTGTTGGTCTGAAATTAAATTTTTATACACTCAATGACGAGCACATATTATTTAATGTCATATTTTTGTGCGTTTACTTTTGGATTCATCAAGATTGTTGGAAAAGTTTAAGGAATTTGTTGTAAATCATTGCAAATACTTGATTGTCAATTTGGTGTCTTCAAGGTTCAGAAAAAGCTTGATTTCTGCATAGAAGCTTGATATGTAAAGCTGCAAAGTTTCATAATAAAGTGCAATTTACAGTTGAATTTTTTTTCAGAGATGCACAAAGTTATTTTTCTGTCATCAAAGTTAAATCAGACTAAACATTTCTTGATTTAGGTTAGTTGGAATTACCAAAATTATTACTATTGCTAAATGTCAGAAAACTTTGTCTATTTTATTTTTGAATATTTCTTATTCCTAATGGCTCAATTGAAGAGTGGAATTGAAATAAAGGTTGGCTTATATTTTATCGATTAAAGTCATTGAAATTGGGGGGATTTTTTTTGTGTGTTAAATTTGAATTTTGATATTTCCAAACATAAAATTTTGTTGTATTATAGTTTGCTTTGTCTCTGCTGTAGCATGTGGAATACTATCACAATACATTATTAATAACAGTAATAAATAATATCATATAACAGTGAATTGAAATTGTCTGTTTTTATCTCCAAAGTGGTGCTGGAAAAGTTTGAAAACTGACCTTGAAAAGTGCTTGAATTTGTGTGGAAACTCCATGTAAACAGTTTTTTCTGCTCTTATTATTTTGTTGTTTTATTTTATGATCATTCATTTAGGATCTGTTTCTTTCTCAGTAGCCTTTTTGTTCTCTTTCCAACAGAAGCATATTTACTATATTCCTGCTTTTATGATTTTTATTTTGTACAATGCCAAATTTTATGAATTTGTGTTGATTTCAGGTTTTTCTCCAAATAAAGTTGACAAACCTAAACATTATTTTCTTATTTCTTGCTCAGATCTGAGCTCACCGTTCAAGTGGCGTGTCTGAAGCAGAGCTGGGCCGATTCTGTGGCTCTCGCTGCACACAACTGGACCTCAACAAAGGAGCATGTGCAGCATTGGAGAATTTACCAACACGGTTTGAAATTTCTGAAGAAGCTGTTTAGAGAGGTGGACTCTCTCCTGCCCCCTAGTGGACCGGATCTTTACACGGTGCAGAAGCTGCAGAACTTAAACGTTTATGAGGTCAGTGCACTTGGTTGCAGATCAATATCAAATGTATTATTTTAATTATTTCATATGTTAATTAAATTTTTTGTCATTTTTCTTTTTTCTTTTTTTTTTTTAAGCTTATTGAAGAATCTCTAGATCTGCACTGCTATGTCTACGCCCGGACTATTGAAGCTGGGAAACACTTGTGCGAAATTGTTACAGAGTCAGAGAGTCGGACCCAACTGCAGTCAGAGCTTCAGGATTTACAGAAAGTCTGGGAGCGAACCACCTTACTGCAAAGAAAAAATAAAGATCTGCTTAATAACACTGTCCAGGTAACATCCTGTGCTTTTTATCTGCAACATTTTCACATCTGATGTTTAAAAGATGAGATCTACTCAAATCGAAACATGGAAAATAATTTCAAAGTTTTATTTGTAATATTTGTTTTTGTACACTGTTTGATTTTTCTTCCTGTTAAAAAGGAGTTTTACTTTCCACTGTTGCCACATGCATATTTGGTTTGAGAGATTGTTGCAACATTAACTACTAAATGCAAATACAATGTACCAATAATCAGAGATTATATCTTTAAGAATAAAAAAATCTGTACTTTCTACCATGAGGAATCATTTATATCTTTAATGTATTAAAATAGAGACTATTTAAGAGCAGGGAGTTTTAAAATGTTATGTTTTCATGGTTAGCAATGCAGAAATACCAGTTTTTATGAGTGTGTTTTTAAGAATCTTACCCGAGATTTTAAAAAGCTGGAAAATATTTTTAGTGGCAGATTGAAAGCTGGAAAAAAAGTAAAACGGCAATAAAAATCTGTTGAAATGCTTATTTTCCCTTTTTAATATTACAAAGTTTTGAGAAGTGAGAATGTAAATCAGGTGAGGTAAATTTTATTTCAGGAGTTTGGGGTAAAACATGTTTACAGACAAACATTTTTTTTATCTTAAATGCTAAATGTTGGCTCAATTACTGCTTTAACTATGTTATTGTTTCAGCAAATGGTCTTTTAAAAAAAAATCTGTATGTCCCAGTTAACTATTAATCAATTGCTAAATTAGTGGATGATTATTTAAAAAATCGATTAATAGAGATTCAAGTCAGTGCTAGTTTTGTAACAGATTTAATGCATAGGTTGCAGGTTTTAGAACAACAAAATGCAAAAAGGAAAATGTGCTGTCGTGGGGATTGTGTGACCTTAATCCAGGATATGATCTCACACACACACACACACACACACACACACACACACACACACACACACACACACACACACACACACAGACACACACACACAGGGTGCACAGCCCTGATCTCCTGCCAAGGGAGATCAAATCTCTTCCTGATCCACATCCTGAAACAGCTGGTTGCCAGTGTCATTCCATGACAGCGACACAGCATTGTGCTGGGAGACTCTCATCAGCATAAATCTAGAACAAGGGTGTTCAAAGTGGGGTGCAGGGGCTATTTGTGGCCGCTGTACTGATCTTGTGCGGCGCCCATGACAACATTTGAAAAGTAGATTAGGACAAAACCGTGACTTAAATTCAAATCTACTTATAAAAGTATTAGATGCAACACAATCGAAAAGATTTATACTTTGTTGTTATTGTGAAGTAGGTAAAAGAAATCACCATATTTTTGGTGATTTTAGTTTTAAAATTTCTATATTTTTTGTACTTTTGAGCTGATGCTTTGGGCCCAAATGGCATAAGATTTGGACGCCCCTGATCTGGAATGTTCCTCTTTCTTCATACAAGACGAAGCTCCACGATCTTGTTTCGATAACTTTAATGCAAGCATAGCTGACTTTTGCTGATACCTAGTAAGATCTTTATAATTTGTGATAAATTTAGCCCAAATATCTGCAGATTTTTAGTGGCAGTGGACAGAGAAATTTGAACTTTTACCACTTTAAGATGACCAGATGTAGAAAACGGCAAGACGTTTAAGAAATAATCGCAATCTAGGAAAAAAGGTCGACTTATCCTGTCTCACTAAAGAACTCTGGTTCTGTTCTTCTGACATAATCCCCTGTAGATAAACAGGCTGTGATTTCCTGTTTGGTGTTCTGTTTGTATTTGAAAAAGGAATAATTTTTCACCTACTGTTTCATTTTCTACCTATTGGACACATTCATTTAAACTTGTGAGGTATAAACATTGTAAAATCAACGTGTTGACGAGCATTTTTGAAATATTTTGCTTTACAGATGTGGTCTCAGTGTCAGAAAGCAGCAAGCAGCATCTCCTCTGAACTGGAGAAAGTTGACAATCTGCTTGCAGAAAGACCGGCAAACTCGGAGGAGGAGGCGCACATCCAGGTGAACAACTGACTCCACTTGACTTTTTAACAGAAAACTAATTAAAAGCATTATATATTTTACCTTCTATTTCACAAGTTTGTTCTGCTTCATCATCTCATATAAAATCCCAATAAAACACTGTTTTGATTTGAAAGTAAGAATGTTTTAGAATGTGCGGTAGGTAAGAAAATGATATTTCACTCATTTGTCTTTTTAAACTCAATATAATAACTTGACACAACAAAGTAACCTCTCTAAATTTTACAGAAAGTAATAAACAAATCTTTGGAGAGTAACTAGGAGAGTCGTTTATGTACAAGGGGGGAATTTTACCAGAACGTTTTTATGCAGAAAAGAGATAAATAAAAAAATATTCTCAGAATTATTGTGGCTTTGATAGTATTCCACATGACGTATTGCAATGCCACATCTCAAAATTTCAACATTTGTGTCTCATTGTCTTGAATCCATTTCTTGTATCTACATTTTCTGGATATACAAATAATTTTAAAGGAGACTGGGATGCAAAATTTACAATTTTCACATTTTTGTACTTCTAAAAAAACCCACCCACCTGTTTATTAAGCAAAATTTAATGAGTTTTAGTGTTTGGAAAATGAGATGATTGAAAAACCTTCCAAATGTAACATCACAAATAAGCAGGCGCTGCCCTGTTACCCAGCAACCCAAGCAAAGCCTGTCCCATCACCGAGCAGCGGACCTCCAGCATGTTTTGTCAGCTGGTTTTAAATCTGAAAGCGCTCTACAATAGGTGCTGGAAAAGAGAAGCATTTTGTTGTCGACTTACCCTTCAGAAACCACTTGCTGCATTCTTGCTGGTTGTGCAGGAGGCTCCATTTCTGCTTTTCAAATTTTGCATCGGTTTTTGGTCTTTTTCACATGAGAGTGTAAAAATTAAGTTGGGCCCAGCAGCTGCTGCCATGGATTTAAAGTGACAAGATGCCCTAAAACAGATCAAAATAGGCATTACTGAGACTAAAATTATTATCAAACTATAATTTTGTGAAAAATAATTTAGTGAACATGTAGATCTATGCTAAAGGAAGAATAGTAGGTCATTTTTAATTTGTGAGAAGTTTCCCACTCTAGAGCCTTTCAGTTAGCCCCCCTTCCTCTTATTTAATGCACTGATGCTTTCACTCCCCTCCCCCTTTATTACCCCTTTTACCCTCCCCCTGTCCCATCCACAGCCCTTTAATCTGGACAGTCAGGGCAAACCCAAGCCAGAGTAAAGCAGCAGCTTGCATGGCCGCCTGCTGACCGTGCTGCATGTTTCTGTGTGTGTTATGCAGGAGGCTGAGCTCTCTCTGCAGCGTTTGGCCGGCGGACTGAGGGAACTGGCCACCATGAAGACAGACCTGTCCCAGTACGTGGCGGCCAGTGACTCGGCGCTGCTGGAGCAGCAGCTGGAAATGCTCCACGCTCAATGGGAAGAGCTGTGCACCAAGGTGAGACCTAAACTAAAAGTTTTTTCAAATAGTTTGAGGTGGGTGAAGACGAACTAGGAGGGAGGAAGTTTCTGGTTTCTTGATGGCTGCACAAAGACAGAAAAACACACTCCCACACACACGTTGGTCACACTGATTTGTTTGATGAAAGAGACAAAGTGTGCTGGTCCTTGGAGGGAAACCAGCAGCTTACTTTTTAACAGTTTAGCTTCTGTAAAGGGGCCAGTTTCTCCTTTCGCGTCTGGTTAATATTAATTATAAATATAAATCTCCCTCATCGTGTCAGCATGTGAGAATATTTACTCCCTAATTCAAGCTGTTCATCATTCTTGCTTGCTAACCTGATGATTAGAATATTCTTTTTGGTAACTCCACACATTCCTACACATGTTTGGTCTTTAGAAACCAATGGTTAGTTAGCATGTTAGCCTAGGCTAATATAAGGTAATTTATGCTAGTGTTAATTGGGCTTTCAGTTAGTGAAGCTGCTTGCACCTGCTCTCCTGTTGGCAAAAGGTTTTCAGATTCAAGAGCTGGAAATGTTTTCAGTGTGTACTTCTTTCTGATAATGAATTGATTTGAGTTTTTTGGTTTTAAATGTGAATATAAATTCCTAAAATGCATATTTTTGGTCAAAATACCCAAGAGTAGTGGGTACTACTGCCAAATTATACTTATAGAGGCAACTTTTTTGAAAAAAAAAAAAGATTGTAGGACTATTTTTACTATGCTGTACATTACTTGAGTAATTTTACTATGAAGTATTTCTACTCTTAGTTAAGTAAAATTTCTGGATTTTCCACTCACTGAATGACAAATAAACTTGTTTTAACCAAAAATCCACCAGAAATACACACCTGCAATTTTGTTAAAGTTTCATAAGTTTTATATTTAAGCCTATCGCAATAACCAATTAATCCCATGATATATTAAAATGAGCTTAATAATTTCTATTTTGATTATAAATTTATTTGCAGGGGAGTTTTGTTTACAGAGAAATCATAATATGTTTTATTTATGGTTTTGGTCCAGATTGTTTTCATTGATTGTTTTTTGTTTTTTTTGGATATTCAAAATGTCTTCCAGTTTCAGTGTGGAGCATTTTATACAAAATGAAAGTTTACATTTTAAAATAAAAGTTATTGAAACTCATCATTAAGACAGCAGACTTGCATTATTGCGCCATTATTATATTAGTTGATTGGTAAAATGTTTTATCGTTTGTAATTATCTTGTTTTTGTGAATTATTTTCATTAAATCCTTAAAATATCAATATTTCCACTTATTTTTATATTTTGGTCCGTCTGATTATGTAATTTTTAAATATTAATTGATTGAATTTGATCAGTTCTCAGTACTTGAGTTTGTTTTGTTTTTTTGCCAAATGCTTTATTTTCATTCTAGAACACAGGCTTCAAACTCGAGGCCTGTGGGCCAAATCCGGCCCTCCATAACGTTTTATGTGGCCCTCGAGATTGTAGACTAAACCCTAAGTGTGTTTAAATATCATCTTATAAATCAAATCAATGCAGCTTTTGTCGGTTTACTGCCAAATTATATCAATCAGTCTCCAGTTTCTTGATAATTATCGTGGAAATTCACACAAAATAAACAAATTCCACATTTCTTAATGCTAATACATAATTTGGAGTTTATTGCAGATTTTTCTCAAAAATTGTCAAAAACTTTCTTACTTGTCCTAAACAGCTGCCTCAGCCTTAATTGATGTCAGATTATAGTCCATAATCTGTGGTTAACGAGTGATGAAAAGTCACATTTATCGTCATAAATAAGCACAAATATTTCCAAATCGAGGACTTTAATTTTTATTGGAAAAAATAACAAATAGAATCACAAAGTCTTGGAGGGACAATATTTAATTTTAAGAAGTTATTGATATTTGTGAACAGGTTTTATCATTACATTCTGGCACAACCGGCCCTTTAAGAGCATTTACAATCTGGATTTGGCCCAAAACAAAAATGAGTCCGACTCCCCTCATGCTTACGTTTTACATTTACTTATGTGAAAATATGTTGAAATAGTGCTAAGTTTAGGCTAAAACAGTTTATGCGTTCAAATATTTCAATCTTTTTTTTTTAAAGATTGCTCACCGAACTGTTGAGCTTCAGTTTGTGAAGTTGTGCTACTTATTAAGTCACCACCTTATTAAAATCAAGCAATTTTTTGTAATTCTTCATGACATACAATCATGAGTCTGGTTAACAGGTTGCAGATTTTGTAGGTGGGGGTTTGGTGAGCAGATGGCCTGGCCGGCCTACGGGAGGTGCAGGGACTTGCTCTATTGTTCCCAAGGCGACACTCAGTCCTCACAGGGTGACTGCGGCGCTCAATGCATCCCCGATTCTTCACACTGCAGCGGGACCATCTGCGTCTGTGCATTAATACCAAAGCAGGGCTCTTTTTAATAGCATAAATGTAGATGATCAGTCAAATAGATCATAAGCCCTGAAACATCTAAAAGATGATCTGCCCCCTCCCCGGGTTTGTTTTGGGCTGTTCTGCTAGTATTAAGCTGTCATTAGGAAAATGGACCTTGTTAATTTGAGCGAATAGCTGCACTCTCCTGAGTGTTTCTCTCATTTCAGTTGATTACTAAATCAGAGTAAACACATGTGAGCACATTTAATATTCTGATTCTTGGTTATTTTGTTATTTTTTTACAGCTCAATGCTTGGATTTCTAATGCTTTGTCTGTGCATTATATTTGGGTCACTTTGTTTCCTGAATGCATACCAGTGTATCACAACAAAGTGTCCTGCTGCAGACTCAAATTCATTGAGGGCTTTGGCACTTCTCCTTTCACCGTTAGGTTTGTACAGGACTAACTGTACTGGTTAGTCCTGCAATAAAAATTTGGGGGAAATAAATGTAAAATACTGTATTTTATGATCTAAATATGTGGTTTTCCACATATTTCCCTCTTAATTTTTGGAAAAAATTAAGAGGGTGGGGTTGATTGATTTCTGAACTTGTCCTGAGTTAAAACATCAGTATTGTTTCTAAATTAATATGAACTTGTTTTCTTTGCATTATTTGAGGTCTGAAAACACTGCATTTTTTTTCATTTGTCATTTTCTGCAAATAAATACAAAATTTTTCCTTGGAATATCAGAGACATGTTGCAGTAAGTAGTCCATAGAATAAAAGAACAATGTTCATTTTACTCAAACATACACCTATAAAAAGTAAAATCAGAGATGCTGATCGTTTTAAATGGTTTCTGAATTTTTTCCAGAGCTGTGAGATTGTTAATCCTGGTGCACTTTAAAACTCACCCAGTTATATTTAATGAGTTGAATCCAGTTTTTAAATTTGGAAAATAATTTCCTTTGGATGTTTTAAGGTGTTTATGAGCATTAAAAACAAGAAAAGATGTAAAAATATGTATATTTGGAATACATTGTTGACAGTTCAAGTTGTTATCTAGTGTGGAAAAATAAAGATTCTTGGCTTTCTTTGTGAAAACTAATTTTTTGTTAAAGCTGACATTTAACAAACTGCTTATCAAACACTAAATGTCGTTATTATTGTATTTCCGCCAGGTGTCCTTACGCAGACAGGAAATTGCCGACCGCCTGAATGCCTGGACCATTTTCAATGATAAAAACAAAGAGTTCTGTGATTGGCTGACTCAGATGGAGAACAAGGTGTGCCACAGCGCAGATCTGAGCATCGAGGAAATGGTGGAGAAACTAAAAAAGGTATTAAGTCATGGCAATTTTATACCATTATTTATCAAAAGAACCTCAGATAAGAGACAGAAACCTTGAATTTGATTACAATATCTTTATTAAAAACACATAAAGCCAAGTTGCAGGTAAATTGCAGAATAAACTAAGCAGATTCAATGAAAGGAACTTTTAACAACTCTTATTCTTTAAAAGTAAAATTTTTTACTGTTTGCAATGTGGAATTTATTGAGGTCCTCCTGAAAAATTGACCTGCTTTGGTAAAACGTAAACAGAATCTGTCCTAAATGTGCATACTGTTTATAATAATATAGTTTTGTAGCAAGTCTGTTGCAGCTGAACACAAAATCTTACAAAGTATTTTTGGTCTGATTTCTAGTGCAAACATCTTAGTAAACTTGAAATGAAACAAAATTAACTTCAAGGTAACTTTCTAGCAAAATATAGGAGCTTGTTTTAAGTGAATAATTCCTGAATATTGATATAAAAGTATGACCTTATCTCAAGTGTAATAAGATTTTTGCACTAGAAACCAGACCATAAGCCGCATGGTTCAAAGCGTGGGGAAAAACGTAGCGGCTTGTACTCTGAAAAATACGGTCTGTGTCTATATGAAACCTGTCTGCATCAACACGGCGTTCATGTAGCTGTGTGGCCGTCATGTATCCACAGGACTGCATGGAGGAAATCAACCTGTTCAGTGAGAACAAGAGCCATCTGAAGCAGCTGGGGGAGCAGCTGCTGTTCGCCAGCGACCAGGCCAAGCAGACCCAGGTGCGCGGCTCGCTACAGGAAGTCAATCAGCGATGGAACAATCTCTTTCAGCACATCGAAGCCAGGTGAGAGCCGTCGCAGCATCTGCTCAGCAGGATTTGGGGTGTTTATATCAACTAAGCACTTCCCAAAACACTCTTTATGCCGTTCTGTGAGCACTTTGCAGAGACAAATAGAAAGATGTTGGCAGGGTTGCAAGTCAAATTGTGTTTGTGTGGCGACATGAATCAGACTCTTAAGTACCGCTCTCAAAATTTACATCATTATCCTGTCGGAACAAACACCTTTCAGGGCAAAGCCACTCTGCTGCAAAAAGCATAATTAAGTTCTGTGAAGCTTCAACCAGATTCTTGGAAGTAAACAATAGCTTCTTAGGGTTTCCATCCACCTGCTGTTGTAAGCTGTGCCTAGCAGCTGTCTGGAAAACCTCTCATGTATGGACTGCAGAGGTTAAGCTCCTGTGTTGTTAAACTGTTGCTACCCCCCGTCAAACAGATGGGCAATCCTGTGGACAAGCAGGAGATACGAACCCTACACACCCAAGCTTCTTCCCCCTCTGCCAGAAGAAGGGGGTAGTTTGGGCTGTCGGAGGGCTCAGACAGGACCATATGTCCCCTGGTGCGCTCTGCCTGGGCCCACTTCCTGTAGCGTGTCAAACTCATTTTGTTTTGGGCCAAATCAAGATCATGAATGCTCTTAAAGGGCCTGTTTTGCCACGAAGGTAGCTGGTAGTAAACATCCCTGTTTTTGTCATAACGATACTTACTGATAGCTTTGTGCTGTCGACTCAGGGCTTAGCACACTCAGATTCATCACAACTTTTTCAGGTTGTTAAACGAGACAAAAGCCTCGTTTGGATGTAAGATGCGCTTTAAGCGGCTCTATATTCATTTTGAATTCTAAACACTCGACAAGCTTTTTAAGTTATCGTCTTAATAGCGCTCATTCAGCCGGGGTGCGTAATGGAGCAGCAACATGATTTAATGTTTGAAGAGCAACAGACTGTGCTTCTGTACAAACATTTTTCTGTTTGTTCAGAGGAATGAAATGTTTCACGTTTTATTTTTCTATTCAGCAACTTGAGCGGTTCCTGTTTTGTTATATTTTATAAGATTTAATAATGTGAGAAAACCACAATGTCCTGGTTATTCAGTCATACAGCTAATGCTATTATTTTCTTAAAGTAAACATTTAGTGAAAAATTTAGCCCTTCATGTTATGGAAAGACAGTTGATACAAGTGAAAACTTTGTTGTTTTTTTTTTAAGAAAATGGCCGCTTATAAATGAATCATTAGTCGATCGATAAGATCAATCAACTTTAGATGAACTCAAGTTGTAGCAGTAAAATTGAGCTCATATTTCAATCAAAGCAAAGATATGCAGTTAAAGAAGAATTACTTCATAATTGGAGGCAGCAACTTTTTCAGGTTGTTGATAAATAAAATCCTCATTTAAAAGCTGCTTTTTAAAGTGTATATAAAAAAAGTCAAAACCAGACCAATATGTTTTCACTGCACTGTATGTTTTAATACTGAAAATAAAGTCCTTACAGTCACATCAACATGGTTTATTATGGCAATAACTCTGAAATACTGAAGGACCGTGTGATAAATTTGCAGCTGAAGTTGGCAAACAATCTTACTTGAGGGAGAAGAAAGAAATAAGATTTGTTTCCATGACTCTTTTTAATTATGCTGTCTGTAGTTAATTTCAATGCAAGCAATATAAATGAACAAAGCAGATTTTCGCTGAACAGCTCCATAAATACAGTGACAGGAATAAATGTCAGCTGGAGTTTTATCTCTTTGTAACTTCGGGCCCTCCTATGGTCAGCTGCACTTTGTTATCTCGGCTCTCAAGCCATATATCCTCATCCTTGGCTCTTTTCTGCTTCATTTTCTCTATCCATTCTGTTCATGCCCTCTTCCTGAGCGAGCCCCTGCCCAGGTTTTTCTGTCTTTGTCTGGTCTCCACATGAAGCTGCTGGCCTTTGTCAGGCTGTCAGTGGAGAGGGAGGTGGAGGGAGAAAGAGGCTTGTTAGTGGAGCAGGATGGTTGCATCTGCAACAGCACTCCAATAACTTACACTGTGTTGCGGATTAGATGCATCACTACACCCCCTAATCCTTCCTGTTAATGGTCATTAGTCCCATACATCATAAACCAACCACACAATCGCTGGGATTCACACACGTGACCCGGATGATGCGCAAAATTCAGATGGGGGTCAGGAAGTGGATTTCTCCTTTTCGAAACAAAGCAAAATAGATCACAGGGAGTAGATAATGCCCTGAATGGGCTGGAACTGATGAGGTATCTTGAAAAAATACATCTATATTTAGAATATGATCCATATTATCTCAGTAAATAAAGACTTGTCATATGATGTTGAGGATTTACCAGGCATCGAGGCGACTGACGTAACTAACTAACTGGTTAGTTAGACCTCATATTATACAATCAGCCAGAAGAAAGTTTTCAAAAACCTGGAGAACACAGTCATTTAGTTTCAGGTTGGGTCAAATTTAGGATCTACTTGTAAATAATTTATTTCTCTTCCCGAAACCCAAATTCATGCTGGGGTTGTATTTTGATGTTCTGCATTTCTACAATGTAGGTCAACCATTTGGTTCTACAGAAAGCCCCTTAAAACATGGTTCAACCAAAAATAATATATCACCTTGCATATGAATGCTTGGCTTTCTCAGTAACTCTTCAATAAAATAACTGAAAATACAATTTAAACGATGCGATCGTTACCTGTCAGAAATTGTGAACTCTGGCAGTGTTAGTTTCCGCACTTCCTGTTTTAGATTGTTGATCCACTTTCCTCGTCTTTTTTTGGTAAATTTAAAAAAAATTAACTCCCTTTTGACCAACACCCTTTAAAACATGAACATAACGTTTAGCGTTCTATTAAATCACTATTATTTACTTTAATGAATGTCAATCAAAACTCAGCAACTCTGACTTTGTTTTGAACTCTTACACCAAAGCTGGCAGAAAGTGTCAGCTACTGTTGTTATTTTCTCATCAGGAATGGAAAAGGGTGGAAAAATGTCTAATCTTCTTAAATCATTTTCTTGGTTTGAAGTAGTTTGGAAAATTCCAGTTTCTATTTAAATGCTGAATCAATCTCTGTGTCTTTCTCTACTACACAAATTTTACTTTGTGATCCGTTTTGCCCACAGGAAGAAACGAGACAAAGCTCGTCAATGTTAGCCTTTACAGGAGTCTTAGTGTCTCGGTGAAAACACATTAGGACTGTGATGTCATCATGTTTTCAGAGCTGAAGCTCACATTACACGCAGAGGAAGTTGGAACTCTGTCGTTTGTTCTTCTGTCCGACGTTCTGCAGAAAGCGTCTTCCTGCCCGGCTGGACGTCCGCAGGGGAAAACGATCAAACGGGGGAATTGACTCGAACTCCAAAAACGGGGCACACTTCAGCCTTTTAAGCCTCCAGAAAGCGTTTATTGTCTTGTGCGTTGCCATGACAGCAGCTAGTGTGGCGCTTTGTGTGCGACAAAGTGAAAGATACCAGAGAAGTTTTTATGTTTGCAAAAAGCTTCCTCTCTTTTTCAGCAGTACATTATTTTTCACTTTATTTTCCCTTTCTCATTATTTTGTTCTTTTTCATTTCTACTTTAGTTTTTCTTTTTCTGTTATTCAGTTCTTTAGTTGTCCTTCACATTCTGTTTAGCCTTTCTCTCTTCCTTTCTCCCTTCCTTTCTTCCTTCCTTCTTTCTTTTTTCTTTCTTTCTTTCTCTCTCTCTTTCTTTCTTTAATTTTTCTCTCTTTCTCTCCCTTCCTTCCTTCTTCCCTTCCTTCCTTCCCCATGTTTCCTTACTTCAGTTTCTCCTGTTGGCTTGTTTTTTCTTTGGACTTTCATGCCTTTTTTCTTTTTCAGTATTTTTTCTTCTCATTTCTGTTTTATTTATTAATTGTATTACTTTTTTCTTTTTATTCTGGCCTAGCACTTTCTTAAAAATATTTCAGAATATTTTCATTTCCAAAAAAAAGCAACAAATAATCAATTGCTCTCCGAACAACTGCATCTCTTTCTCTCTCTAATACATTAATAAATTAGTCATTAATTGAGTTTTGGTCACTCAGTCAATAACCATTTAAGGTTTGATGAATAATAAAAGTTACTAACTGGGCAACTGTGTCTATTTCAACATCTTTTTAAGGGTGAGGAAGCTGAAGGAGACTCTGGTGACGGTGCAGCAGCTGGATAAAAACATGAGCAACCTTCGCTCCTGGCTTTCTCGCATCGAGGCTGAGCTTTCCCGGCCGATCACCTACAGTGTCTGTCATGAGAATGAGATCCAGAAGAGGCTCGCCGAACACCAGGTAAATTTCATCTCCTGCCATGTTGGTTGAGGTTATATTTACCTTTTTGGATTTTGTTTCACTTCCTAAATATCTTATTTTTCTCGCTTTCAACCCCCCACCTTGCATCTTTAGTATTTAGTATTAAAATAATTTCTAAATTTTCTCACACTTTGCTGCTCAGTTTTTCTCTGTTTAGCATTAATAATTCTCATTTTTTGTTTGCTTAATGTTAGGAGATGTGGTTTCATTGTTCTTCGGCCAAATGTGGTCCGTCGTAGCTTTTAATGTGGCCCTCTAGACTCCAAATTACATCAATACATCTCTCCAGTTTTCACTAATCTGAAAGATTCACACAAAATCAACAAATCCCCGCATTTGTTCTGATTTTTCTAAATTTTCTCACAATGAACAACATGCTGCGTCAGCCTTACTTGATGTCAAGTTACAGTCTGATTGATAAGATGAGTAATAAAAAGACATACATCAGCACAAATATAGCAAAAATTTCCTACAAATATTTCTAAATTATCATCACAAAATCCATGATTTTAATTGGTAAAAAACACAAATAAAAATCTGGAAATCCTGGAGGAACTGATCAGTGTGAAAATATGTCCAAAATTAAATTTTAAAAAGCACAAACAGATATTTCTTTATGTTTTTTCAACAGTTTAATTGGTTTGATCAATATATTCTGATCAAGCTTGAATGCTTGAGGAACATTCAAATGTTTGATATGACTGCTGAATTAATCCATGAGGTCTGGTTGGTTTGGCGTCTGTGCAGGACCTGCAGAGGGACATGGAGCAGCACACCGAAGGCGTTGCGTCCGTCCTCAGCCTGTGCGACGTTCTGCTGCAGGATGAGGACGCAGCAGGCGGCTCCGAGACGGAGAGCGACTCCCTGCAGGAAACCAGCCGCAGCCTGGACCAACGCTGGAGAACCATCTGTGCCCTGGCTCTGGATAGAAGACTCAGGTAAGTACAGTTATGCTACTTAAGGTGCATTCACACCAAACTTTTTAGTCTGGTTTAATTCAGCTGTTGTTTGTTTGGCTAGAAAGCCTGGTTTGTTTGGGGAGGTCTGTATTTGTTATTGAATTCTGAGTCTCAGTTTGGTTGAAGTGAACTCTGGAGCGGTTTGAATAAATATGTGAATTTATTTTGGTCCGCTCCAAGAGCATGGAGCAGTGCCCCCACTGGTGAGGAGAGGAACATGTTTTTAGTTTGGTCCGTTTGACTCAAGGTGAAAACAAAACACATCAGCTGAAAATGTAGCAAATGTTGCAATTTTAGTCCCAAACTAAACCATGTCTGTCAGACTATCGGGTATAAAAACTCTTTTTATCTTTGTATTGAATAACTTTCATTCTGGCGAAAGGCTTTCGTTGTTTTTAGCAAACTATTTAATTTGTTCTTAAGAAGTTTGGGCAGGAAGCATAAACAGTGTAACTCTTTCGTGAGTAAAGTGCATGTATGCGAGCTGCCTGTTCGACCTTGTAAACATTTTCAGATTACATATTTTCAGCATAATTCATGCAAACCAAATTCTCCAGCCACAATAAACTTCTATAACTTCAACATGATGTATTCTTGCAGAATCGAGGAAACTTGGACTTTGTGGTGCAAGTTCCTCAACGACTACTCCCGCTTTGATGATTGGCTCAAGATGGCGGAGCGAACTGCTGCCAACCCAAATTCTGCAGATGTCCTCTACTCTGCAGCCAAGGAAGAGCTGAAGAAGTTTGAGGTCAATTTCTGTTGTTTTAGTAAATGACACATTTCTCTCCGTTGTAATAGAGCTCATTAAGATTTAGAAGTTGCAGCTTTTTTGCTTAAAAAAAAAAGTATTATTTTGAAACTTAATGTATGATTTAATCAACTTTTGTCAATCTATTCAGTTAAATTTTTATGTTCCTGGACTTTGCAAGAGATTACATAACTACTAAACCACTGAAAATAAATAAATGAATCAGTATTAGAGCTGAAACAATTAATCATGCTGAATCGATTATTGAAATAATCAACTAATTTAATAATGGACTAATCGTTTATATATAAAGTTCATATTTGTTTAGAAAGAATAATACTAATGTTTTAACTCAGTCCAGAAATTGATATTTGGAGGAATAACCAGGATGTTTTCAGTGGGGTTCAGTGCAGTGGACTCTTAGTTTGTTTTTTAGTCATCTTGTTTTGCTTTGAATGTGATTTAAATTGGAAACGGTTTGTTTCATCAAGAGTATAGATGGATGTAAAGACAGTTTATGCAGTCTGTTTAAATAGGAAAACACACTGAAAAGTCTTTTACTGATTCAATAACGATGTGTTTTTTATTTTTATCTTTTTCAGGGTTTCCAAAGGCAGGTTCATGAGCGCCTGACTCAGCTGGAGTTCATCAACAACCAGTACCGCCGCCTGGCCCGGGAGAACCGCACCGACCGAGCCAGCCAGCTCAAAGCCATGGTCAGAGAGGGAAACCAGCGCTGGGACAGCCTGCACCGCCGAGTGGCCTCCATATTACGCCGGCTGAAGGTATTGATTACACAGTAATGCCCTGCAGTACGTCTCCACAGAACTGGAGATGCACCGATCCGATATTAATATCTGTATTTTACATTATACTTTCTGAACCATTTGAAAGGTTTGTTGCAGTTTATTTTTTACACAATGTTTTTGTTAGTTTCTTTATTGCTTATTTTCCTAATTGCATTGACTGAAGCTTGTGAGCTATTGCTGTATCAAAGTGAGCCGTACAGGTGCAGAATTATCAAATAAATTTATAATTCAGATAATTTAGGTCTGTTTAAAAGAAAGATTAATGTTTTGAGTTAGTTCAGCCATGTTTTTCTGCATTTGCCCATACTAAAAAGTGCAAACGTTTTGGCATGGGTGTCAAAAACATCAAATTGCAACAACTGAGGCGGCCACAAAATGTTTAGTACTTTTATTTATAATTACAGAAACTATTTCATTCTATTTTTACTAGCTAAGTAACAAAACACAGAAATTTAATGAAATAAGCAGGGCTTACAGATTAAAACAAGAAAAAAGCAACTTGTATCCTAAATTTTTTATCTTTTTCTCTTTTTAGCTACGAAAACAGTTGATGTTTCACCTTTATTTTTCATAGTTTATTAAATGCTTCGGGATGTTTTTAGTCCCTATTTCTAATAAATTAAATTAAAAGCAAAACCCCTAGATGAATATTTCTTGTTGCACATCACATTTTTCATTTAAAATTTGAAGATTTTAAACCACAAAAAAAGCTTAGGTTATTCTTGAAATGTGATTAAGGGCCCCCCAAAATTTTTCTTACGGCCACAAATGGCCCCCGGACCGCACTTTGGACACCCCAGGTTTAAAGTAAAGAGAAAAATTAGTTTGTTGTATTGATTTTATAAATAAAATTTTTCCATGTCATCATATGAGCAGTTTTTACACCAATCCAAAAGCCTAAAATTATGGTGATCAAAATATTCTGTGTTTATTTTCATTTTATTCTCCCTCTTCCATTCTTGCTTTGGTTTCTGTCTCAGTATTTTACCAGCCAGCGGGAGGACTTTGAAGGCACCAGGGAGAGTATGCTAGTTTGGCTGACGGAGTTGGACCTGCAGCTCACAAACGTGGAGCATTTCTCCGAGAGCGACGTCCATCAGAAGATCCAACAGCTCAATGTGAGGCACACGTCATTTCATCTCTGCACACAAATCTAAAATACCCGATTTATTACCTCTGAAAGAGAATTTGTCAAACTTTTAAGCTGCTGGTTTCATCTTTAAGCTGCATGTTTTGGTTTAGGGAGGATTCGTTTACGCCTCGTTACGAGGGCTCTTTTAAATTTTATAAACAGGCATGTGTTACTCGCTCTGGTTTTCCTGACTCCATCTCCGTTCGTCCATTCATCTTCCGGCAGAGCTTCCAAAAGGAGATCAGCCTGAACACTGAACGCATTGACGGGTTGATAGTGTTTGGTGAGGCTCTGATCCAGAAAAGTTCAGCTCAGGATGCGGCTCTGATAGAGGATGAGCTGGAGGAGCTTCACTCCTACTGCCAGGAGGTTTTCAGCAGGCTGGTCCGCTTCCACCAGCGCCTCAGCCAACCTCCGGTGAGCTGGACCACACACGAACTTCACTCCTTACTGTATATCACGGAATATTAAGCCTTTAAATTCCACTAAATCCTAAATAAAATAAATTTTGTATTCTTGTCTCATATCCAAAAAAAAAAAAAAACAATGACATATTTAAATAACATCTGCTTTTCAAAAATGTGCCAGTTTGCAATTTATGTTCCACAGTGAGGAAACTTATGAAGCTGCAAACGGGCCAGTAGCTAATGGACCTGTTTGAGGACGGGGTGGACATGTAGAGAAAATGACTCTAGAGATTATTTTCATTGTAAAGTTTGCAGATAAAGAAAAGGTAGATGGAGAACATTTTTTCCATTATACTGCAGCAAAAGACTGGAACTTCAAAAATAGGAACTTTTTAGGTATTTTAAAGAATATCGTGTCTGAAACCTGAAGCCATGTTTCTAGCTATGTTTCAGCTAGAAATGCTTATTATAGGCCAGGGGTGTACAAACCTTTTGGAAATGTCAGGATGAAAGAACTGCAGCATATTTTGTTTTTAATCGTGACCAAGCCAAAAATGTTGACATCACTGACTCTTCCAAAAAAAAAAAAGAGACAAAAAATTCAGAAAAAATGAACAATTTAGGATATGATTTGATGGTTCTTTGTTTTTGTTTTTTTGTTTGGGAAACAGGCAAAAAATTTGTTTCAAATCTACAAATAATTATATTTCTGACAGCCCTTGACTCCATATCAAGAATAACTTAACCTTGTTTTGGTGGTTAAAATCTTAAAATTTAAGATGTTGAAATTTTTAAATCTTAAAAGATTAATCAAGATAACAATGTTGTTATATCCAATAATATTATATTCAAAATAACATTATTTTCAATTCATATTTTAATCAAACAGTTTTATTAACAAAAATATTTTTAAAATAATGTTACTTTTAGAATAACATTGTTAAACTAAAATTTTAACAATGTCGTTTTCATTGTTAGCATAACAATGACAATATTCATTAGTATTTTAGTGAATATGTTATTTCATGCAAAAGTAACACAACTTTAAAATATTTTGTTAAGTTATTTATTTAAAAATAAAATAAAATAGATTCTGTTATTATAATTAAAAGTAATAAAAATGTCGTGACCGCTCTTGCAACTTGACATTTTTGGCCACCGTGCCAAAAAGTTTGGACACCCCTGACTAAAACCAGTGGTGTTACTCTTCATATTATTTTAATCCAGATGATCAAGGAGGAACCAGACATCTCTGACCTCACCGTTTCCCTGGAGTCGAGCTTGGAGCTGATTGGTCGGCCGTGGCTGGGGCGGAGCCAGGCGAGTCTGCCAGCCACGCCCACTCACCTGCTCAGCTCTCCTTTGGATCGCTCAGGGCGGGAGACGCCGGTGAGCGTCGACTCCCTCCCTCTGGAGTGGGACCACACCGGAGACGTGGGAGGGTCATCATCACATGAGGATGAGGAGGAAGAGGAAGAACAGGATGAGGAAGGGGCTTACTTCAGCGCATGCTCAGGTATTTTCAAAATAAAATGCCTTTGCATTAGTTCAACAATGCCACAAATTTGGCCCTTCAATACGTTTTATAATTTTTTTAGCATGAGAGTTCTTCTTAAACGGAAAACATTGCTTGTTCTTTAGTTAACCTCTTTGGCTTTTATTTTTATCTCATAAAAGTTGAGTCAAACATTTTTGTGAGTTTTTACTCAAAAGCAAACTGGTCACTCACATCCCATGTATTTGGAAAAATACAGCAAAGTTTGTAAAAAAAATTCTTATTTTCTTTGCTGAGAATAAGCTAAGTACATTTTATAGACCTAAAAAAAAAACACTGTAAAAGTTAAAATATTAGATGTTTTATTTATTGTTGTGCAGGTTAAGAGAAAGAATTCACAATAATATTTTTAATTGGGGTTAATTTATTAATTTATCTGCCAATTGAAGTAATATTTTCCATAAATATTAAGAAATCATGGACTTAAAACAAGCTACAAAGTTATTTTGAAGTTGGTTTGTCTTATTTTAAGTGTGCTAAGATATCTGCATTAGAAACTAGACCAAAAATACTTTTTGTGTGTTTTTGCGGAGCTGTGGAAGTGAGAGAATATAACTCTGCTGCTGGCGTTCTGACTAAAACCAGGAAGTTAGCGCACATCACACCAGTTTTAAACTCTTAACTGGCTCCCTGCAGCTCAGAGAATAAACTGTTTGTTTATTAATCAACAAACGGCTTATTAAGAAAATACATTGGAGATCCTCTGTTGTCACAGCAACCTTCCAGACCCCTCAGGTCTCCTAGTTCTGATCTGCATCCCCAGAACCAGAACCAAGCATGGAGAAGCAGCATTCAGCTTCTATGCACTACAAATCTGGAACGAACTACCAGGAAAAACGCAAAACAGCCGAAACACTGACTTCCTTTAAATCTCTACTTAAAAACTCAGCTGTTTAGAGTTGCTTTTGAAACATAATCATGAAACATGAATCAACATTTTGATGTGCAACAACAAAATGTAATGCTTAAATCATTCACTGTGTCTGCAGTGGCTTAGTATTTTTGTGTTTTTATAATGTGAAGCACTTCACTTGATTGATTAACAAATATATTTTTCAATAACTTGTTTGATAAATGGGAGGTTAGAATTGACCTGTAATTCTACAGTTTGTCCCTTTTTTTATCAGCTCCTGTTTGTAAAGCCCTGGGGTAAATAAAAAACACCAGATGAGTTTACCATTTGAATCAGATCAAGATCAGCGACAGGCTGAACTTTCTTGAAAGAGGTCGTGGGTATGACATCAAGACAGAAGGAGGTTTGTCGTCTTGTCAGATCCAGAGGGTGAGATTTACTTTTCGGCTTACCTCAGATGGTTCCAGGGGGTGTAGGAACTGATTTCTGAGGTGCCTGGAAGCTGCCTGTCAGAAAATCCATTATTTTGAGTCATTGGTATGTTTGTCTCATTTCCAAAACCCGCATTGGCCTTGATATTTACCTCAAGTCGATGAATCTTCAATTTTGTTCAGCTTAGGGGAAGAAAAATAGAGTAAAAAGTCAAAAAAATAAATCCCACGCTTCTTAAATTTGAAGTAATCCAGTTGTGAGTGAGGACACTGTAAGAGTGACTATAAAAACTGGATGCATTAAATTACTTAAACAGACAAAGACTATCAAACGAGACCTGCTACACATCTTCATGTTCTGTGTGGTAAATCCACTTACACCTCTGCTCCTCGGGGTGCTGGAAATGCTTCCAGGAAACTTCTTCCATTAGATTATAAATTAGGCACATCCACACTGTTTAGTGGACTGTAAACCTTTGGGTTTTCACAATAAATATGAACAAAATGATAAAATATTCCTATAGGAACTAAACCTGAAGGTCAAACTCATGATTTTCATGTTATGTCTTTTAAACCTTAAAGTTTAAGAGTAATGATTGATTTTTGGGTTAAATTCAAGCTTTCAGTTAAGAAGATGTCAAGATTTAAATTCCCGTCGAGGTTGGAACCCATGTTTGGTTAGCTAGTTTTACTGCTGTATGCACTGTACAATGGCTGCTGGAAAAGGCAAATGCTTTGTTGTTCACTTACTATCCAGAAACCACTCGCTGCACCACTTCTGCTTTTCAAAGACGCATGGTTATGTAATTGCGCATCTGTTTGCAGCCATTTTCACAGGTGAGTGTAAATGTTGCTTATTTAACTTTGTTAAGATAAGTCTATGGTCTATACAAAACATGATCATTACACTTTTTGCACAAAATAATTCTTAAATAATGAGGTTTAATTTTGAGCTCCTTTCAGAATGAGCTGTTTTAGGGCCTTTTGTCACTTCAAATCCAAATCTGTTGCTGCTTTCCACACCCCTCAAATCAATGTTTTCACTCGCATCTTTGAAAAGCAGAAGTGGTGCCTCCTGCACAACCATGAAGAATACAACAAGTGGTTTCTGGATGTCAACAACAAAACACTTTTCTTTTCCAGCAACCATTGTACAGCGGTTAAACCAGCTGAACAAAGGTGCTAGATCTCCGCTTGTGTTGCTAGCTAACAGGGCTACGCTAGGCTGGTGTTGCTAGGCAACAGGTCAGTGCCTATCAAATATCAGGAGGCGTTTGGAAGTCATTTTCCATACACTAAAAACAACTTATTGCCAAAGAACTGCTTGAACATTTTTTTCTTTTTTCCTTAAGTTTGCACAGTAGGTCTCCTTTAACCTTCCAATAAATGTTGCCTTGCAGTTTCCAGCCTGTCTCTGGCTGTTCGCGATTGTTCATGGAGAACACCAGAAGCCACAGAAGCTCAGCCGGATCCAGAAGGACACGCTGAGCCGACTCCCGCTCTGACCAGCACGCCTCTGAAGCAGGGTTATGTACGTCTCACCGTTCCCTCTGCGGACCCAAAGCTGACTGTAATACAGCCTGCCAAGCCTCGCTGTCGAGCCAGAAGTCGGCTCTGATGATCTACTTGTTGTGTTTTTCCAGCTGCGGCTCATGTCTCAGTGCAGCGGGAGCATCGAGAACATAAAGAGAGTTTCTCTGATCCTCGATGACGAGGAGCAGCCAGAGGAGTTCGGCTTGACGGGCCTGAATGCCTCAGACAGTCAGTCAGGTGAGATTACCGTGCAGAAAAGATTATTTATGAAGAGTGTCTGCACTGCGAGGGAGGACTTAAAACAGACATCTGCCATAAAATTTCAGAAATCGTGTAAAAGAAACCAGGTGGTGCGTAAGTTATGAATGTATGCAGTCAAGGAATCGGTTCAAAAGGAAATAAATTTGAAAAATATTCATTTAACTGATTCATTTGTGAATCTGCAGGAGGATTTTTTGTCTTTATAAGTCAGAAAGGAAGATATTTGAGCATAACTGCAGTTGGGGCAGGAAAATTGAAAACTGCAGAAACTTTGACTGATTTAGACAGAAATGAATCATTTTGACAACAGACATAAAATCACGTCATTCCCAGCGTTGGGTTTGTCAGAGGAACCGTGAGGCTCTTGGTCTGTTTCTGTTTAGCTGGACATGAGAACTTTGTTACAACTTTAAAATCTTTGGCCATTTTAAAGAATAACTACAACTTGCTGCCAGAAAACTGATAATGAACAAGTGGATGTTTCTGTGGGATAGTGATGCAGAATATTTCCACAAATCCGCATAAAAGTGGTTCACTTAATTCAAAATAATTTGAATATCTCAGTCCTCTGATTAAAATCCTATAAAAATATTTTTAACTAAAGTAGTTTTAGCCATCTGTAACAGGGAGTTTTAATATCTCAAAGAAGTCAATAAGTATGACAGCTGTCAATTTTTTTAACATTTATTTCTAAAATTGAGTTTAATGGATTTCTCTCTTTTTAATTATTCTTCTTGAGTAAAATATTAGATTATTTTACATTATTGTCAGTGTGTTTTTGAAGGTTTTTAATAGGAGTACTCATCGCTTATCATATTGTTTTTCATTTATTATGATAAATTTCTTCTTATCATGAGGAGAATTTTGATTTATCAATGTTGCAGTAAATTTCAATTAAATGTTCCACTGTTTTTTCACAGTAAAAATATGATTAAATGCAGTTACTGTAAGGCTTTAACGATTCCTCGACTGATTCGAGTTCCTGGATTGTTGCATTTTCTCGAGGAAAATGAATCTGCCTCGAAGCTTCGTTAAGTTCTGTTTTATTAGTTAGCGCAGGTGATTATTTATAATGCGCAGCACTCTCACTTCCGTCTGAGTTGATGCTAAGTGTTAGCAGCATAACATCTAATTTTCAAGTTCAGTCTCGGAAGATTCATTAATTGATGATAATGTCAGTTTTAATGGTTTTTCGGGGGACCAAACAGCATCTTTAAAATAACGGGCGCGATGTCTGGAGTACGGCAGCCTTTCTCCTCCTGACGCTGCTGCCTGGTGGCGGTGAAGAGCGCGGCGGGTGTCTCTGTAGTTGATGTTTAAGTTAAGTTTAGCTTTATGGACGAACCAGAAAATGTATTTCATATCATTCTGGTCTCAACAAATCTCTTTTTGACCAGTGGAAGTGCCTCTTTGAATATATTCCAGGTAGCTAAAGGCTTCTCAGGCTTTTTATATTTGATTAAAAAAAAAAAAACAGTACAGTTTTTAAAGTCTCTTGTTCTGTGTTGCCTTCACGTGTGGTGGAAGAGGTGAAAGGATTATGACACAAAGAAAGTGAAACTGTTGAAAGTGAAACTGTTGAATGTTTCACTTCGCATCATGGCGGTACGTAGCTGGTAGATGAGTTTCTGTGTGTGACGAACGAAGGTATCAAATCCCGTCGCTAACATGAATGCAAAAGCTATAAATGTCTGGGCAAGGTGAGAATTCATCTATTAAACTTCCTGAAGATGAACACATAAACTAGAAGCTGGAGCATAGATATTTTATAAGCGTATTTGTGATCCTGTCTCTTTATTATTGAATTTAATATAATTTTATATTTTTTTATAACTTTTCTTCATGTTAACTTAGAAAATTAGCTATTATTGTTACAGGTTAATTTTCTTAACTACATAAGTTATTTTTAAGGAAGCTCGAATATGAAAAATTGGACTGATGTTATCTGACAGTAACATTGCTGTTATGGTAGATTAACCAATGTTTTATTTTATCAATTTTTTATTTGACTACTAGATTAATCATCAGAGTAGTTGATAAAATACTTGATTACAAACATTTTTGTAATATGAATCACACTTCTTTATGTCCAAAAGAAGCAAATTATAAATTTTCATCAGGAGCAATATTTGTGTTTTTTATGATTTCTGTGCCATTCAATCACCTGAAAAAGAAGCAATAATTAGTTCTTATTGCCACTTTGTAATACAATAAAATATAAAATAAAAACCTTAAGTCCATATTGCCCAGTTATAGGAACACCAATAAGTGTTAAAAAATGTCTGAGTTTATTAATATTTGTGTGTTTTCAGGTGTGATCGAACGCTGGGAGCTGCTCCGGGCTCAGTCCAGATGCAGCCAGCAGTCTGGCACGCTGGATCCTCAGCAAATGACCTTTGATCTGGACGACGTCACTTCCTGGCTAGAAAGCATGATCCCTGAGTTGGAGCGCCTCTCGCAGTCTGAACCTGCAGGCAGCATAGAGGACATGGAGGCCAGAGCCAAAGAGCTGAAGGTGACAATTTAATCCCACCGTAGCGGTTTGAGTTTAATCCAGATGAAGTTTTAGGTGATTTTTATTGTTCTTTGTTTTGTTTTTACAGGAAATGGAGAAAGTGTTTTGCCACTACAAGGCCATCATGCTGTCGGTGAACCTGCAGGCGAAGGAGGCTCCAGAAACGCAGGAGAGAGTGGCGAGAGCGAACAGAGACTGGAGCAGAGCGTGTACTGGTCTGCAGCACTGGGACCACAGCCTGAGGAGGAAGCTGATTCGCTGCCAGGTGGCAACAAAACTCATTCATCAACTAATAAATAACACAAATTAATGTTAACAAGTCGGTTTCATTCAAACTAAGACAAACTAGATGAACTATAACTTTACAGATTTATTTAGTTGATTTCTATAATTTTGCTCTTCTGTGTTTACTACTTTTCTATCACTTTGGTGCTGATTGAATACAATTTTAATCAATCAAGTCTGTGTGGCGCATTTCAGCAACAAGACGGTTTAAAGTGCTTTACATCATAAAACAACAAAAATCATTAGTCAATAATTGAAACATTACATTTTACTGCTATACACATCAGAATATTGATTGTTTCATTGATTATGTTTCAAAAGCAACTATAGACAGTTGGGTTTTAGTCTGGAGTTAAAGGAACTCGGTGTTTTGACAGTTTTTCAGTTTTCTGGATGTTTGTTCCAGATTCTTTTGAGTGATTTTGCTAGAAATAAGATCATTGTTTGATGATTTATTGCTTCTTCTGTCAGTACTGAATTTGAAATGATTGATTTTAAATGCTATGATGAAACATTAATATTTAAAAAATAAAGTTGTAACTCGTCAGACTCGACTTACAAAGTATAAATATGAATAAATATGGAGATTAAGCAAAAACCCATATTAGAAAACAGCTTACATAACAGCAAATTTTGAAGAAATTAGTTAACAATTTACTTCTACATCATAACTGTAAATCCAGGTTTTCTGCTACCAGAAAAATCAGAAGTTGTGGTGTTCAAAGTGTGGGGCAGGGGCCATGAGTGGCCCTCAAAATGATTTTGGGCGGCCCTCAACCACATGGCAAGAATTTTCTGAATTCTTGAAATTCAGGGCATTTCTGAGTGCAGATGGTTATAAATGCGTTTAAACAAAATATGTTGCAATTTTCAGAAAAAATAAACAACTTTAAATCTAACATGTAAAAATATTAACCTTTAGTCAGCTTTTTACTATTAAACTTTGCAAAATGAAGTAAAAGTGAGTCAAATCTCAAAGAAAAAAAAAACTAGAAAATTAAAATCCACCCAACAAAAACAGGAATTGGTTTCCTTTTATTTCAAATCTTTGTTTTTATTAAAATATTGTTTATCACTGAGGGTAAAAAACAACAGTAATCCAATTTAAATAAAAATTTTCCTTTATGTACTTTCAGTTTCACATTTTTCACACCTTTAAAAGTTTGGAAAATGTTAATTAACTAAAAGGATCTGTGATAAAAATGGTATTTAAGGAACTCGGTGAAAGAGTTTAGTAAACAACTCAGAGTGAATCTTTCAAATAGATGCGATTTCTGCTCTTCATTTCTGGTTTTGCTGCAATTTAACACCCAACACTGATTGAAATGTTCTCTTTTCTTATTCTAACAGCCTGAAAACCAGAGCCTAAGTTATAAAGTAAAACATCTGTAAAAGATTAAAATCACATTTCAGTTTCTGATCTTTTATTCCTCTGACTGTGAAGCGTTTTCCTCGGATCTTTTAGACATGTTATTAGCTGTAAGAAAATTAGCTTTAGATTATTTGCCCACTTTTAAAAGCCCTGTTTCTCCTATTTCTCGTCAAACCCGTATAAAACGCTTGATCGGGTTTTAGAGTAGCATTACACAAGTTTTATGGACATCCTGCTCCTGCCAGAACGTTTTGATAATATATTGCTATTGTCAAACTCCAAAAAAGGCCCATAAACAATGAAGCATGATATCTTGTTTTTGTTCAACTTTCCAGTAAATGCAGGACTTTAATGGCGTGAAATGTTGAACTCTGAAACATTAATTTTTCTGTGCAGGAGTTTCATGAAACTCTTCAGTCTCTGCTGCTGTGGCTCGCTCAGGCAGAAAGCAGATGCTACAGCATAGACATAAAGCATCCAGAGACGAGCGTCAGAGACCTGAAGCAGCAGGAAAACACGCTGACGGTGAGCAGCAGGTTAACAGACTTGGATGAGCAATGAAGCGTTAAGACCGAAATGATTAATCCGATTAATCACTTCTTGTAATAAGTTAGTAATTTAGTAACTGATGAAATGTTAACTGGAGTTTACAGACTGAGAAAAAGGTGATTTGATGAAAAAAAAACAACATATGCAGAGCTGCAATTACGCCAAAACATTTAACAAAAAGCAAAGATATGCATTTTACATTTAAGATGAAAAAATGTAAACTGTGTTCCTCCTGGAACTTTTAAAGTGGCAAAGTTTTAGTTTCATCTGGTCCAAATTCTGGAAAAGAGAGAAATCTTTTTTTTTTCTCCCTATCAAAGAAGATTATGTCCACTGGAAAAATTAATTTAGTCTTCTGAGATTAAAATCAGAATCCCAACTTTTTTCTCAATTTTTACTCCAATCTCAGAAGATTTAATTGTATTCTGAGAAGAAGTCATAATTCTGAGATTAAAGTGAGAACTTCAACTTTTTTCTCAAACTTTAATCTCAGAATTCTGACCATTTTGTGGCAGAATTGAATTCAATCTTCTGAGATTAGGGTGGATTATGAGAAAGAAGTCAGGATTTTTGTTCTGTGGTCCAAATCAGATAATCCAAATAATCATCAGCTCTTTGTCTGAGCTTCTCATGTTGATGTTCAAAGTATCTTTTAGCTGCAGATGTTTCCTTTGCTACGTTAAATGAGTGAATTTAAGGCAATAAAAATGTTTTTCTGATTTAAAAAATGACTTGATTTTTATCTTGCATGTTTTAATGCATTTCTATTATTGTATAAAACAGGCAGGCTGTGTCGATGTTTTCAGCCTGTTAATCGATGGATTAATGTGTCGCTCAGTCGTCTGCAGAGCTTCTTATGTCTCGTGCTGTTTGTGCTGCGCAGGAGCTGCAGGCGGATCTGCGCAGCCGGCAGGCACACCAGGCGTCTCTGCAGGCTCTGTGGTCTCAGCTGCAGCCTGAAGATGCAGCAGAGGACTGCGACGAGGCGCAGGAGAAGCTGCATGTGACGGGCACCAAGCTGAAGCAGCTCAGGAGGAAGGTGGAGGACGACCTCCGCACCCTGCAGCAGCGCCTGCTGGTCCAGGATCCCGGCTGTGCAGACGCAGACGTAAAAACAGCCTCCTCCACCCCGAGGTACGTGCAGAGGAGAGGTGATACAGGAGTTAACTCCCCTTTTACTAACGTCTGTTTCTGTTCTACAGAAGGGAATCGTCCCCACCTCGATCGTTCTTCTCCCGCCTCCTCAGAGCCGCCTTCCCCCTGCAGCTGCTGCTGCTGCTCCTCCTGCTGCTGCCCTGCCTGATTCCTCTGTCGGACAGCGAGCCGGGCTGCACCCTGACCAACAACTTCGCCTGGTCCTTCTCCCCCATGCTGCACTACACCAACGGCCCGCCGCCCACCTGACGGCAGCTTGCGTCCAACGAAAGACATTTCCCAACAAAACATGGACGACTTTTCAGGAGAATGTTTTAAAGACGACCTATTGTGCTTCCTTGGACAGGTTAGAATTAACAAAACGTTTTCACTGTCATCAGTAGAGATTCTAGTTCTGCCTATTTTCAGCTTCTTCCAGGATGTTTTAGGATCTCTGTCGCTTTAAATCCAAACAATCTGTGGTTGGCCATGCCCCAAACGCAACATTTACGCTAGTATGTAAAACAGATTTATAGCAATTATACAACTGTACCTCTTGGAAAAGCAGAAGTAGAGCCTTCTGCACAATCAACAAGAATGCAGCAAGTGGTTTCTGGATGATAAGTCAACAGCAGCCATTTTATAGCATATAGAAGTCTGGAAAAAATTAAAATGCTCAGTTTCTCTGATTTTACTCTTCATAGGTTTATGTTTGAGTAAAATGAACTTTATTTTATTCTATGAACTTCTGACAACATGTCTCTGAAATTACAAGCAATAATTTAGCATTTATCTGCAGAAAATGAGAAATGGTCAAAATAACAAAAAAGATTTAGAACTTTCTCTCAAATAATGCAAAGAAAACAAGTTCATATTAATTTAGAATCAGCAAAACTAATGATTTAACTAAAAACGGATTTGGCAGAATAACCAGGAGGTTTTGGTTCAGTGCAGGAGGCTCTGAGTTTTTCCCAGAGCTGTAAAACCAGCTGACCAAATGTGTTGGTTGCTAGTTGACGGTGCAGAGTGATGAGATAATCCGGAGGTTTTTGAAATGGCTCGTTTTCCAGATGCCAAAAAAACAGCTGGGTGATTTTTTTATGTTTAGAGAATCAAATGGAAGTTCAAAAGTAAATTAGCAATTGTATTTATACCATTTCTAAACATTTAGAACTAAAATCAATATATCTTAATTAGATCAACAGTCGTACATAACTGAGGAATGTTTTCAAAATTTTCTGCAAATAAAAATCAAAGTTGTTGAATTGAACTTTGTTTTTCCACCTTTCCAAATATGGAAAAACAAAGTTCTGATTTGTTACACTGGATTTAGTTTGAAATGCTCTGCAAATATATTTATATTTTTGATAATTTTCTATCACACAGAATCCCAGTAAAAACTTGTAAGTTTTCAGCTGAAATGTGACAAAATGTTACAATTTCCAATCATGTTTGAAGAATGGTTCAAAACTTGACATTCTTTGAGATCGAATAATTTTTTTCTCAGCATTACATTTTTATTAACATGTTTTTATGCTTTTTCAATTTGTCATTCTGAGGCTTAAAAACTCTGAATCAAAAGGAGAAATTTGAAAAATAAAGATGGTAAAACTGCCAGACTCATTTTACAAATAAGGGGTCGAAGAGGCTGTATTTGTAGTTTTTTTGTGTGTAAAACATTTTATCATGCATCTTGTTTTATCATCTGAATCAATAATTCAGATTTCAAAATCTGAATTGTTTTTATTATTCGGGTCAGATTTAAATCTGATTTTTCTTTAAAATGACACAGATGTTTGTTTTATGTTTGTTCCCGCTAAAAGAAACATTTTATTTGTGTTTTTATACATTTGATTCATTTTAGTAAACAGGTTATTTGTGTACAGAATGTAATGCTTTTTATTTATGACTGATTCTCTGTTAGTAAATCCTAATTGTTTTCCTTCATTCTCCATTTGCCTGATTTAATAACAGAAGGCGACAAATATTACAGGTTTGAACATTTATTACTAAAAGTTTTCACCAAAAATGAACAAAGATCGACAGTTTTCTGTTCTTTTTTTTTCTACACAGCCAAAATACGGTTTGTTTTAAGGAAAAGGCAGAAGGCACAAACAACCGTAAATCTTAGTGATTGTCAAAGCTGCAAAATATCACAGAAATCACCTTCGTCTCGCTCAACTTCAGAACAAAACCAAAAGGAATACATTTTGATCAAACAGCTGAAGCTCACAATAAAATGCAAAGTGGAAATGAATAAACCCAAATAATGCTTGAAAATATTGCAATTGAGCTTCAATTTCAGTTAGTCTTTTTAAAAATGATTTTTCATTCTTTACTTTTTATTGTATTCCTTCAGTCCATACATGTAAGTGCTTTCTTACCATAAAACGTTTTAACGAGGCACAAAACCTTCAGAAATAACGGGATCTGTTGGAACTGATATCCTAACTTTCATTTGCATTTCTGTAAAACTCAGGTGAACCAGTTAGTGGCAGATATTTATTTATGCTTTGGACACTTCAGCGAGTATTTTCTGTTAAAATAACCTCAAAACATGAACATTTTAAATGAGTTTATCCACGATTAAATCTAACCCATTACTTTGCTTAATCAACAAATCCAACTTCCAAATAGTTTTTACTGCTTATAAAAAGTATCACCTGCTCTGATGTTAAACTTTGAAATTTATAAAGCAAAACTTTGAATTATTGAGTCATAAAAATAGAGAAAGTGAAACAAGATGAAAGTTTGTAGCTGTTTATAAAAGAAACTTCCTGTTTTAGGTCGTAACTTTATTAGAGTGGAACTATTTAAGTAAATGCATATTTAATATTTCCAGGGTTTCTCCTGGTGTATTATAAGCCTGGCGGGCTGCCAGGCTCGGTATCGTTTATTTTAAGACCTTATATTTTGTGTTTAGGTAATGTATTGTCTCCCATTACAAGTTTTTTTTTTTACATTTCCTGTCCTTTATCACATTTTCTGAATTTGAGAATTCTAGTTCCTAAAACCCAACAATCAACGGACGCCGGTAAAAATCACCTAAAGTAACTGAACATGGATTATTCTGCAGTCAGTTTTTGCAGGTCATGAGTTACACGGTGATGTCATCGCCGTCTTTTACTTCAAAATCTTATGTCTGCTTGTCTTCAAGCACTTAAAAAGTGTCTTTATTTGCATAAACTCAACTTAAAACGATCCTTCTAAGAAAAGTTTCCAGTTCAGGAAAACTGGAAAAGCATTTAACATTTTTATTGTTTTGTAGCTGAAGTGCCCTGAAGACACGTGGCTTGGATCAAAGACAAAAATAACTGTTTTTAATCCAATATTTAAAAGAAGACTTCATCATGCTGGTAGTTTATTGGTTGGAGCTCTATTTTTTTTTTCTTTTTTTTTTTTTTTTTTTTGACAGTTTAAGAATCTTTTTTTTTTTGTCATAAGTGCACATTTCTGTTATGCCTCGTTGATTCATAATTAATTTTTAAAGGATTAGCAGCAAAAAGAAACCCCAAAAATTCTGGTTTCTGTTAAAATTCGAACAAGTTTTTAAGGCATTTCTGTTTGCAAATTACACTGCAGTAAAAAAAAAAAGCTGTGAGTAGTGATGTAGAAATCTAGTGGTTTTATGTCATTTATGCAGAAAATGTAATTCTAATACAAGCCTTGATGTACAGTGCTGTGAAAAATTAGTTGCCTCCACACAGATGTATTTTTTGTCAAACTTTCGTATTGTAGATTAAATGAAATGTAATATAACAGAAAAACAATATGATTTAATTTATTTAGAGGAGTAACCAAGACATCCAACCTGGTTTTATGTGAAACTCCGCCATGATGCTCCTTCAGAGCCTGTCTATAAACAGACATCTATAATCTGATTTCGCTTCTATTTAGTTGATTTCACTTTGAAAGTGGTCAGAAGGTTCTGGGATAGAAACCAAATGTGTCATTTTATTGCATAACTTTATAGAAGAAGGCGGCTGTAAGTGTTGGTGACCATCGAGACAGTATGTTAGCCTAGCATGTTTGGAAAAAACTGGTTAGCATCTTGTGTTTTGGGCGTTTTTAATGTTACTCCGGTTTAAAGGGAAACGCTGTTTAAGACATAGTGACATAAATCATGTGAATTGAGGAAGTCGGTAATTTGATCAGAACGTCAGGAGGGAGGAGGTTCGGCTCGGTTTGTAAGCTAGCAGAACAGAGAAAAGTGTGTCTGTGAATTTTACCCAAAATTATAATTATAAGTGCGTATTTATAATAATATTTTTAATTGATGCATATGTTTACAGCCACCTAGTGGTGTGATGAGTAACTGCAAGGCACTCTCACGGCTTTCCTGCTGGTTAAGATATTTTTCTTTTTTACTTTAGGTCATATTTTCCTAGTTCGACAATTAACTAAATACTGTAAGAACAAATACAGATATAATTTGTAAAGTTTTCTTGTGGTTGGGCTGGAAGAATATGACCCCATGAGTGAAGAGTGATTTATTCTGTCGTACTCGAAGGCGACACCAACTTCTGTAAATGCCTCCATCTCTGAGCCCCAATCAGATGCATCACGTTGACGGACAGATTATCTCGATTCTAACAAGAAGAAACCATAAATAAACTGACACAAACAACTGGAAAACATTTTCCAGTTGCTCTCTTCGGTTCTCCCGATCCTCACTTCAGACGTCCGTCATGGCGCCTCATTTTAGTCACGTATTTGCAAACAGTCAATAATCTTAATTAATGCTGCAAGTTATTACTTTAGTAATCAGGTAAAAAAAAAAAAAATGTGGCATTTTGCAGATTTTTCATTTTAAGTTTTGACTGGAACGTGTTTAAAATTTGCTATTTAATCTTTTATGTAAAATAGTTTTAGTAGTTTTGTTTCTGAATATGTTGCACTTTCAGAAAATTGCCTTTTTATGGAGTCTTGATACTCCAACGATTAATTGCTGCAAATCAACTTTAGGACACTCCTAAATAAATTTTTTTATTTTAAGTAGAATATTTGGAACTGATTTTATAAGAGGGGCCTTTAAATTTATTTTTGCCCAATTTTTTTTCTAATTTTTGAACCATGAACTCTGATCTTTCATGGTTCAAAAATTTGTGGGTTCTTCACTACTATAGATCTATTTTTATTAAATGTTTTTGTGAACATTGTTATATAAAAACGTTTAGTCGTAATTTTACATTTTCACATAGATCCAGGTTGGTTTGCAAAGTTTTTCTTTTCCCTCTCAGTAAATAAAATCATAGAAAAAATACTATTTGAATCTGATAGCGTTCTCTTTGCTGTTAAAGTTTGTGACAAAGCAACTCTACAGGAGTTTAATTACGCACCACTGTGTGTCAGTGAAGGCAGAGTGAGCCACAACCATTGCTGCGATGCCCTACATGTCAGAAGCGACAGTTCAGAAGTTGAAAGTCCTGACGCTGCGTGTCAGAATGCCAGATCGTTTCCAGGTCCGGTCTGTCCTCAGAACTCACCAGCAGCAGCGCACAGTGTGTCGAAGGTTCACCAGCGGTCAGAGAATCGGTCTCTGCAGATCGCTCCCGGAAAGCGTCGGTCCAGTGAGGTCGCCGGATCTGAGCTCTAATCTGAACACTGGGCTTCGACTCCGGCGCTGCTGGGAGTCCAGGTGTTGGAGGGGCCGCTGGCGGACGCCGCCTCCGGCTGCTCCGTGGACTCCTGCGGGGCGGGGCGGCGAGGGAGGCGGGAGCTGTGCATGATGTGAGCGTCCAGCATCTCCAGCAGCAAGTCGTACAAAGGCACGATGTTCTTCATCTTCATGCAGTGCAGGTGGTCCATGCCTTTGTTACTGCAGGAAGAAAGGCCAAGAAGTTACTAGTTTTCACACCTTAAAAACAACTACTAACTATAATCCATGCTACTGGGATTACCGTATTTATCAGATTATAGGTGCAATGAAATCATAGAAAAAATACTAGTTGAATCTGATAGCGTTCTGGAGCTCAGCTTGGGTTGATAGTAACAATCTGAAGGTTTTTGAATCAAACCCAAAGATATTAACTTATTGCTAAAAGAAAACAGCTGGATGGATTTTTTCAACACTTGGGCTGTTTTTAGAAGCACGAGAAATGAATAAAAACATCCAAAATGTGAATTTTGTATATTAAATATAAATATTAAAAAAATTTGATATTCTATTGCAGTTCTAGCTCTAAAGGTAATTGTTTTTGTAGCCTCCAGGAAGTTTTCTACCAGAATTACTCTATTTAATTCCATCCATCTTCTCCTAAACTCTGCATGATGCTGCTGTGAACATTTTTCACTTTTATTTGCTGCACATCTGCTTCTCCTTTCCTTCCGCTTCACAAGTTTTGCAGCTCTTTGTGTCAATCCCACATTGAAGCGTTTTTGTGGCCTGCAGCATCAGATGCGTGTCGGTGAGCCGTTTACCTGACATGGCGGATGTGAGAGAGCAGCATCAGGAGGTGGGCGAGGCGCGTGTACTGCTGGCGGAAGGTCAGCCCGCTCTTGGCGATGGCCCACACCAGAGCGTCGGTGACCGAGTCCAGGAGGCGCAGCAGCTTGGAGCGACTCTGCAGCTCCTCGCTGCCTTCGTTTGAGCTCAGGCACATGTCTGGTCACAAAAACAGGATCACAGCAAACTCCAACCATGCAAGAAACAAAAGTCTGCAGCTTCAGTGAAGCCGTGTGAAGCTTAAAAAGAGCAGAAAACTGACCTTCAATCGATTAAAACCGTCAGATTAATGTGACTCCTGTGGTGGAATGTAATAAAATAATTTCAGCTTCTATTCAAATGAAAATGAAGCAGATAAATAATTTTTCTTGTGACCAACCGCATGCAAAAGGGAATGAGAAGTGCACGACTGTGAAACGGCGAAGAAAGACGCGGCTTGTGTTTATGGAGGTCAACGACTCGGGCATCAAATGATCGGACCGGAAAACAAAGCACTCTGCTGTGAACAAATTCATTATGTAGTAAATCTCTTTAAAAGCATTTGAATACATTTCCTTCTCAGAATACGCATTCATTTATGACCGCATCCTGCAGAGGAGCTGCAGAACTGCTAAAATTACAACCGGAGTCCCGCTAATCCGTCTTTTACGCCGCTTAATGTTCCCTGTCAAGTTTACCACTGATGCAGCATAAAAACAAGTGAAAAGGAACTTCATTCTCCCTGGAGCATGCTCCACATAAAGACGCCCACAGAGCGCTGCATCCATTCTTTTTGTTGGTTTTAATGGTTTTTTTCCGTCTGCTCATACGTCAGTCAGGACGCTGCAGACCGTTACGCCGCTATGTCATTTTTTTTTTTGGTCCAATCAAATCGCCGCATTTAAGCACTTCAGGTTACGACAAATAGTGACTGTAAATACATGTATTTACTTCAAGAGTTCAGATCGACTAATTCTTATTTAAACTGAACACATTTTGATGCAAACGAGTCTGATGATCATCAAATCGCTTCATGAGAAAAAGCCTTAGTGTTCAGCAGAGAAGCACTTTTAGAAACTCCAGGTTTCAATGGCATTGAAAACCTTCTGCAAACAAACCATGTTGGACTTTGAGGGAAAGTCCAACAGTCCAGTCACTCAAACTTCAGCTTTTCCCAGTTCAGCTTTTGGGCTCGTTTATCTGCTTGAGAGCAAATTAGAGCTGCTGCTATTTAATTACAATAAATTATTCCCAGCAGATTTAGGCTTGAAGTAATAATTTAGTTTTACAAACATGTTTCTTATTGACTGATTTTATCAGCAATGATGAGGGCTGTTGTTCGGAAAAAGTAGTAAATTTCATCCAAAAACTCAGAACTTCTTCAGAAAAGGCAAATCTCTGAGTTTTCCTCGCAAATTTTAGGTTTTCAAACTTGTGAGTTTTAAAAGATTTTTTTTTTGAAAATGTCAAAAACTTAGGAGTTTCTGAGTTTCTAAAATTTTTTCCTAGTAAAAAACTCAGAAGGTATTTGAGCCGCTTTGTCGATCAAATTTTAGATTTTTCAAACTCAAATTTTCATGTTTTTTTCCTGTAATATTTCTGAGGTTTCTGGCAGTTTTTAGACTTTTCACTCAGAAATTTCCTTTTTTTTTTCTATAAAATTTCTCAAATGTGTCAAAACTTTTTAGATTTTTTTCTGTCAATTTTTAGCTCTTCAAAACTAAAAAATGTCCATATTTTTTGCCCTTTTGCCCATTTTTTGAGGATATATGAAAACATTTTTTAAGCATTTTTGTAGTTTTTTGCTGAAAATTTGCTCCTTTTTTCTACCTACAATAATAATTACAAGATTTCCTCTAGGATTATTTTGACTACATCATCATCGTTCAAACATTAACATTAGTTTCACATTTTGAAGGCCTGAACTAAATATAAATTCAACTCAACCTTCCTCTGGTGCTTTTTCTCTCCCTCTACTTCAAACTTGTTCTTTATTCCTGTCACAGCAGCCAGCAGTGCTGGTTTTTCAAAATAAAGTTTAAATGTTTCATAATATTTAAATTCATTCCAGGCATATCGATCGCTTCCTTTTGTTGTTTTAAAGCCACTTCTTTCTGAAGGAGAGACTGCAAAGATTCCCTGTTTAATATCAATAGAATATTCCTCTTATTTCCTATCAGAACAAAATTCTGAGCTTAAAGTCAAAATTTGAGACAGGGAATCAGAATTCTTAGATAAAAGTAAAAATTAAAAGGAAAAGCAGAAAACTCTGAGATTAAAGTCAGAATTAAACAGACAAAATTCTGAAATTGTCAGAATTCTTAAAGTCCCATTTCTGTAAAATGTTTTTTTTTTCTTTTCTGAGAAAAAAAAACTTTTGTAAAATTTTACAATCAACTTCAAATATCTGTAGTTAAACCACAAATCTGAGCAGTTCAGATAATCCTTGATAATTTCTTTCTCCTCTAAAATCTCACAACCACAAAAATCCCTAAAATCCCAATAAAAAAAAAAAATTCTTTTAAACAAACATCTAGGTTGAAAGTTTTACTCATTCCTTTCTTTACATTTAGTAAAACAAAATGAACTGATTAAACCCAGGCAAAAAACGCTTTTTTCTTTTTTTTTTTTTGAGTTTTTTGTTTTGGGTTCGGCTCCCGTTGAGCCTCCAGCGAAACGTGCGGCCATGTTTCACCCGTGGCGTCAGCAGCGAACGGCGGCCCACACAGACTCACTGGAATTGAGGAGGATCATGGCCTTGAGGCAGACGTACTCCTCCTTCGTCAGCTTGAGCTCCCTCACTCTGGACGTGGCGGCGATCAGCATGTCGAAGATCTCCACGAAGCCCTGGACGCGGCTGCCCTCCTCCCTGCCCCACACACACACACACACACACGCACACGCGCACACGCACACGCACACGCACACACACACACACGCACACACACACACACGCACACACACACACACACACACACACACGCGCGCGCACACACACACACACACACACACACACGCACACACACACACACACACACATCTGGTATTTAAGCAGAACAATTCAGGAGAGTCAATTTATCAGAACCAGAGCAAAAAACCCAAAGAAAAGGTTAGAAAGCCTGGAGGAAACTTGATCAGAGCCATTTTCATAACACTGCAAAAACACAAAATCTTACCAAGTATTTTTGGTTTTGTTTAGTGCAAATATAAGATGAAACTAACTTCCCAGCAAGAAATAGCAGCTTGTTTTAAGTCAATAATTGCTTAACATTAATGAGAAAAGGATATAAAACTACTTTTCTACACAATTTCTGAGATTTATCAAAATTTGAGTTTTTTTCTAGCAACTTTTTAACTTTTCAAAATGTCCAGGATTTTTAAAGTAAAATTTCTAATATTTGTCAACATTCTTGAGTTTTTTGTTGCAGATTATTTTTGTCCAGTTTTAATCTAAATATGTTTAAACTTTAAATGAGATAAAATAATAAGTAACTTTTTAGCAAGACAGAGAAAGTCAATAATTCCTCAAGTTCTGCTTCCACAGGCAGATTGTTTTCCTGACAGCTTCAGAAAAATGTTAATTGTTATAAAATTAAAACAATTTGCAATCTACAGAAACATCAGTATTTGTATTTTACTGATGTTTTAAAAAACACAAATATATATTTCAGGAATTAAATAAACAAATCAAGTCACAACAAAATTTAAGAAGAAATATTTCCATCTAAAATTACACAATGAAAACAAAAATTTTGAAAATAAGGCAGAAAATATATTTTATTTATCTACATAAAATAAGTGGAACTAGTCATTTTTTTGCCAATATTAAATCAATAATTGACTCAAAAAACCTCCTATTTTTACTTTAATTTTTATGAGATATTTGCACACAAAAAAATCAGAACAAAATACTTTGTAAGATTTAGTTTTTTGTTTGGTTTTTTGCAGTGTGGGTGCACGAATTTAAGGTCAGTGAGGTTTTTCTCTAATCAATACAGGATCAAACATACTAGATCAGAAATGACTAATCGCGGTGAATACATTTCTGAAATAATCTTCAACCCATGTAGTAATTAATCGACTCAAAACAAGACATTTTGTAGTAATTAATCCAAAAACTGTATGAAAAATATTCAAAATTTGAATTGTTTATCCAATAAAGTTTTTTATTTGGATATCTAATGCATTTCTAATATTGTATAAATGAAAAATCTGCAGAATGTGTCCAATTTTTAGCCCATTACTTCAATCAGTTAACCCTAAAATATAAGCGCACCGACTGAAATATTTGGTTAAAATTCCTCTAACAAGTCGCGTCTAAACAATAAGTTGTTTTTTTTTCTTTTTTGGTGGCATTCAAAGCGCTTCCTGTGTAATTCTGGCTCTGATGTTTGACCGTCTAGAATGAGATGTTCCAGTTCCTCATGCAGAAAGCTTCGTTTCCTGGCATCGATCTTTGCTTTCATTCATTCTCCGCTCAAAGGGTTGAAGGTGAAGCTTTGGGAACGGCATTTCGGACTCAAAGCGGCGTTGGTACCGGCTCAGGCAGAGGTCTGGGGAGAAGATGAGTTTCCCTGGCTGGTCCACGGATCTCCACATCAATCCCATCATCAGCACCTCCAGCCAGCAGCACTCCAGCAGGTGGACCTGGTCCAGCAGACAGAGCTCCACAAAGCCTGAGGAGAACCACGTTAGTTTGACTCAATGTCTCCAAGCAATCCTGAAAAACGTAATTAAAGATGGCAGCACTGATGTAAACAGAAGCAGAAAGAAGAAGAGACTAAAGTCAGGCACCTCAGTAAAAACCAGGGAATTAGTGGTCAGGTTGGAGTCTGAGCCTTTTCTGTCTTGATCTTTTAATTAAGCTTTGAGGCATTTTGAATGAAAAGGACGTTGGGAAGAGAAAAATCAGTCTCAGAAATTTGACTTCTGAGAACAAAAGTCAAAATTCTGAGAACATTTGAGACGAAGAGTCAAAAATTCTGAGAACATTTGAGACAAAGAGTCAAAAATTCTGAGAACATTTGAGACGAAGAGTCAAAAATTCTGAGAGGAAAAGTCAGAATGTTGAGAGTAATTGTTGATTTTCTGTGTTTTATGAAAGGTGTTGCTGAAAGGTGCAAGGCAAAATAAAATTTGCTTTAATTTTGAGCAAAGTCAGAATTTAGTGAAAAGTCATAATCCTGAGATTAAAGTCAGATTTATCTGATTTTGTTTTCCTGCTGCCGACTGGCAGCGAATGCCTCCGAATCTGAAAACAAAATATTCCGGCTGCTTCACAACTGCTTTAAAAAAAGAAGAAGAAAAAAAAAAGCCAAACTCATTTAACAAACTGGTTTGTTTTGGATATTTTTCTGCTCATGAAAAGCGCATTTGTTTGATTTTTATTTTTTTTACACCACCAACTTGAACACAAACGGCTCTCAGTCGCCATAAAAAGGCGACGAGTCATTAAATCTGAGCCTGAAAGAGTCTAAACCGATAAAACGTTCCAAACATTCGCTCAGTCTTACGTTTGCGGTTCACGCGCTACATAAAGCAGAGACAATGGCTGCATTCACCAGACACAAACGGTTTCATCACACATTACAACCGATCTGCGCATCAACATGACTTTAGAAGAAATGTTAAATCACTCCGGTAACAACAAAATCGACAAACCAGAGGTTCTCATTTACATAGAGATGATTTAATCTACAGGATTCATTTCTTAGCATGAGAATGAAAGGTTTCATTTGATAAAATATTTAAATTAGCAGATTATTTACACTAGATGCTATTTATTCCTGCTAGATTATTGCTAATCTAAAGCAACACAGAAGAATTTTAACTAATATGAGTTACAACAACATTTCATTTTTGTTTAGGATCAATAAAGTATTTGATCCGAAAGGAATTTATTTTTTTTAATCCCTAATTGCACTTTCTGAACCAATTGGAGAAAACTTTTTATGTAGTTTTTTATGTTTGACGAAAGCAGTCAACCTACTTTTTTGTAATTACATATATATATATATATATATATATATATATATATATATATATATTATATATATATATATATATATATATATATATATATATATATATATATATATATATATATATATATATATATAATCACACATAATACACAAAAAGAAAAAAACTGACAATATTTTTTTTTATGTCTCAGTTTTTGCTCCTAATTGCACCAAATGAATAAATTAAAGTTATTTTTCGATTACAAGAAAGCCTATGACTCAATGCCGCATACTTGGATCATTGAATGCCTAGAGATGTATAACATCAACAGGATTCTGAGAGCCTTCATTGCAAACTCGATGAAGCTGTGGAAAACCACCCTTGAAGCCAACTGCAAACCACTTGCACAAGTGTCCATCAAATGTGGCACATACCAAGGAGATGCTCTGTCCCCGCTACTGTTCTGCATAGGCCTGAACCCCCTCAGCCAAATTATCAACAAGACTGGCTACGGATACCGACTCAAAAATGGGGCCAACATCAGTCACCTCCTCTACATGGATGACATCAAGCTGTATGCCAAGAGTGAGCGAGACATCGACTCACTGATCCACACCACCAGGATCTACCAATCTGACATTGGGATGTCATTCGGACTAGAGAAGTGTGGTCGGCTGATCACAAAGAGGGGGAAGGTGATCCGCACAGAAGGAGTCTCACTCCCACAAGGAACAATAGCAGACATAGAGGACAGTTACAAGTACCTAGGTATACCACAAGCAAATGGCAACCTCGATGAGGTCACAAGGAAAGGAGCCACAGCTAAATACCTCCAACGAATAAGGCAAGTCCTGAGAAGCCAGCTCAATGGCAAGAACAAAATCTGTGCGATAAACAGCTATGCCTTGCCAGTAATCAGATACCCTGCTGGAATAATTAGCTGGCCAAAGGAGGAGATAAAAGCCACAGATATTAAGACCAGAAAGCTACTAACCATGCATGGAGGGTTCCATCCCAAATCCAGCACCCTGAGACTGTACACGAGCCGCAAGGACGGAGGCAGAGGACTAGTGAGTGTGAGAACCACTGTCCAGGACGAAACAACTAAGATCCATAAATACATCAGGGACAAAGCCTCAACAGACAATGTGCTCAGTGAATGTCTCAGACAACAGGGAACGGAGGTTGAGGTGCCAGAGATACCATCATGGGAGGACAAGCCCCTACATGGGATGTACCACCAGCAAATAACCCAAGTGGCTGATATCAGTAAATCCTACCAATGGCTGGAAAAAGCTGGACTCAAGGACAGCACAGAGGCCCTCATCCTGGCCGCCCAGGAACAGGCCCTAAACACCAGAGCAATAGAGGCCCAGATCTACCACACCAGACAAGACCCAAGGTGTAGGTTGTGCAAGGAGGCCCCTGAGACAGTCCAGCACATCACAGCAGGGTGCAAGATACTGGCAGGGAAAGCGTACATGGAGCGACATAACCAAGTGGCAGGCATAGTGTACAGAAACATCTGTGCAGAATATGGACTGGAAACCCCAAGATCAAAGTGGGAAACACCCCCAAAGGTGGTGGAGAACGCCAGAGCTAAGATCCTGTGGGACTTCCAGATCCACAGACAAAATGGTAATGGCGAACCAACCAGACATTGTCGTAGTGGATAAACATCAGAGGAAAGCCGTTGTGGTAGATGTAGCAATACCAAGTGATTGCAACATCAGGAAAAAGGAGCACGAGAAACTAGAGAAATACCAGGGCCTCAGGGAAGAACTGGAGAGGGCCTGGAAGGTGAAGACCACAGTGGTGCCTGTGGTCATCGGGGCCCTCGGGGCAGTAACCCCCAAACTGGAGCAGTGGCTACAACAGATCCCAGGAACAACATCAGACATCTCAGTCCAGAAATGTGCAGTCCTTGGCACAGCCAAGATACTGCGCAGAACCCTCAAGCTCCCAGGCCTCTGGTAGAGGACCCGAGCTCAGAGGATAAGAACCACCCGCGGTGGGTGAGAAAGGAATTTTTAAATAATCATACATAATACACAAAAAGAAAAAAACTGACAATATTTTTTTTTATGTCTCAGTTTTTGCTCCTAATTGCACCAAATGAATAAATTAAAGTTATTTTTTGACCAACATGATGGATACTTGGGAAGATTTTACCATCACAGAACCTTTTCTTGTTTTTGGTATGAAATTAGAATAATACATTTAATACACAAATAATTTTTTTTTACTTAAATGTGCTGCACTGGTGCAAAATTACCAAATAACTTTATAATTTAGTACATTTATGTTCGTCTAAGACAGTGCTTCTCAATTATTTTCCGTTACGCCCCCCTTAGCAAGAAGAAAACTATTCGCGCCCCCCATTCCCCACCGTGACTATCCATCTCAGCATAACATTTTTTCCTTATTAACATTTTTTTCGCTGAAAAAACTCTAGCGGCTTATCGGCGTGATTGGGATGTAACGTATTTAAGTGACGCGCTAATTTATTTGGCTTCATGCTGTCCGCTGCGAGCATTTTTAGACACAGCAAACACACCGGTCTTTCCTCTTCTCCAACTGTAGTCACAGTGAAGCCAAGCGCTAAATACGCTTCGTCGTATTTCCTCTTCTTAGCTTTCGGTTGACTTTCTGTTGTCTCATTAGGCCCGAGCAGCTAAGCGCTGCGAAGGCCTATTGTTTTCCTATTGTTTATTAGGCCCGAGCAGCTAAGCGCTGCGAAGGCCTATTGTTTCTGTACTGTTTCTTATTATTATTAGGCCCGAGCAGCTAAGCGCTGCGAAGGCCTATTGTTTCTGTACTGTTTCTTATTATTATTATTATTCTGCCCCCTAAAGAGGGGCCTTTTTGGGGGCTTTATCATTTTCAAAAACTCACCAAACTTGGCGGACGCGTAAAGGGAGTTTCAAAATTTTGTATTTTAAGGTCATTGCAAAAATCCCATAAAAAATGGCTCAATAGCGCCACCTACAAATTTTCAAAGGACCCTTTGCTATTCACTTACTTTATCCTAGAGACATGAAATTTGGTACACTTGTAGAGCTCCCCAAGATGCTCAAAATTTACAATTAATGTCATAGTGCAAGTATCACAGGAAGTCAGCCATTTTGGATTGAAGGTCCAATTTTGGGGCCATTTTTGCCGTTTACAGCCTTCGTATTTGATCGAACTCCTCCTAGGGATTTCGATTGATCGGCTTCAAACTCGGTCAGTCTGTTCATAAGGCATGTCCCATCTAAAGTTATCAAAACGGTGAGTTTTTGAGTATGCTGAAGGGGGGTTAGCAGGGGTCAAAGTTCACCTACTCGCCATAAAAAAATAAACTGCTATATCTCCTACACAGAAACTCACAGAGGCACCAAAGTTTCTGTGATTGATCATTATCGGGTCTCCTACAATACCCTATGGTCGAATGATGACATCACTTAGGCCACGCCCCATGAGAACAGGAAGTGTAATGTTTTACTGTGGACGGTCGCTATCTGACCCCTTTGACCTCATCAACATGAAACTGTGCCCAGACACAGAAGACATGTTGGTGTATTGAGGATTCCAAGCCCGACCAGCTTCAATGGAGCAGGTGGGCGTGGCGGCGTGGCGAAGTGACCTCTAACGCCATCGCCATACGTTTGGCTCTCAATTCCACATTTTCGGGCCCAACTGCTCCAAACTCACAAGGATGGATCCTCATCCA